CCTACATATTAAAATCAATGATTTTCTCTTGGCAAATATGAGTTCACGGGAGTCCTAGGATTCCGATTCGAAAATTGTGACGGTGAAAAACAAACATAACAATACCTACATGTTTAGTATGCTATTTCTCTGAAATTTTTAAATCTTTTCTTAAAACCCAAAATTTGGATGGAACAATGTCCTCACATAATTAAAGTTAATCGCAGATGTCAAATCCCACTGAAAATACGGAAAACATATTTAAATAGATATATTATCAATAAAAGAAAAGGAAAAAATCATCTAGTATGAAAATAACTAAAATGATCATTTATAGTAACTTCAGTTAATCTAACTAGAAAAGTGACTCCAACGTTACTTAGTTTGATTAATAAACAACTCATCGCGCGGATTCAAAGTTTACGTGTTTGGTGAAAATTTGCTATTCAGGTTGATAAACCAAAAAATGGGTCACCAAACTGAAAAATATACTCCGTATATTATATATATAATTTATAAATTTAAATTTTTTTGAAAATAATTGCAATAAGAAACATTTTTATATAATTTTCAAATTTGAAATAATTTTGAATTAAAAAATATCACTGAAAAAATTTGTACCCAAATCTACCAATCATATGGTCATGCTTTTGTAAAAACAAATGGTTTAGGATTCGGTGTGTTGACTGAACATGGTTGCATAGGGCCCCAATCTTAACACGTTAAGGTAATGGTAGCAAAACTAAATAAGACATTTTCAATTAATTACCCAAAAAAAAAATTATGTGTCTTGAATAGACTCAAATGGAGAAAGACAATCACTAAACATAATAGGACATTAACAAAGTCACACAAGAGTATAAAGAGTATTAACCGATTGAAGCAACCCAGAAGCAACATAATTCAAAAACAAGGGCAACAAGATGCAAAACTGTTACAGTGGTAATCAAATACCATTTGTTAGTGAAACAAGTCCGGTAAAATACACCACAAAACACAACAGGCTGAAATGAAGAATATACGAGCAAAAATAGCATTCTCTCCATCAAAGACCCTAGGCATGATGCCTAGGGTCTTTGATGAGAGTGGAAGAATTTGATCACACGTGTACAAAACAACATGCACAAGAGATCCTATAGTTTATGCACAACATAGAATTTGGTTTACAACTTTACACCAATTGAGTTTACTTTATTATATTTCGTTACTCATTCAACATTTTTATCCCCAAGAATTCTTGTCACTAAAATTCTAACTTTCATATCAAATGTAAATCTAAAATCATTCTACGTATGTACTTTCCTGACAGTTCTAATAACCATAATATGTATACCATTGTTGTCATTGACATTAGTATCCTGAGAGTTCTAATATCCATAATATGTATACCACTGTTGTCTTGGGTAGTTGGGTTATCATTGACATTACTGTTGTCTATTTAAATGAACAGATGATGAATGTGACTGGCCTTATAATATGAGTACACCTTAGTAACCTTACCCATAAGCCCAAAACCTAGAGCACAAACTGAACGCATTCCATAGTAACACCTAAATCTAATAAGGGAGAAAGCACACAGTACCTAACAAGTCACATAAGATGACTCAATGCACAATAAGATAGCAAAGATAGCAAAGTTTATACAATAAGAAGAGAGTCCTTGGTTACGAATATACAATAAGAAGAGAATCCTGAGTTACGAAATAACTAACCGCTCAAAGAGGTAAAGGACATGCCTTATCAAGATTAATGATCATTATTTGATAAGTATTTTCGTAGTGAGAGTTTACTATGCAAGTTAGAGATAAGGAATAATATTTTGAGCTCGTGAAGTGTATATCGCACAATACATTTTGAGCAGGCAGTCACCTAAGGCAAAATAGAATCTCAAGTACAAGACCCCCCAAAAAACTGCCATTACTCATCAATGACACCCAAAGTTATACCATAGCCATAACATAATTTGTTCAAAAAAGAACAAAAAAGGCAGCTATATATTTGTTCAACTAAAAAATGGGGGTTTCCGTTTACTCTTAAATGGTTTAAAAAACAACAACTCAGAGCCGTATAATCGTTGCTTATTTTCACTAAATTTCAGCATGCATTACAAGTCCTTTTGGATTTTTTTTGAACACTTTGGAAACAAGATGTCTAAAAGATATCATACATAAATGACGTGTCAAGATTGGGAAGCTCTGCACAAACAGCTTCCCACATCAGTGCCCACATATATGCTCACTTCACTATTTTGAAGTGAAATGGGTTATACTACAGTTGAGGTAAATGCTTAAAACCAAAATCGTTGACCCTATAAAATGTAAAACTCGAACGAAGCACCCAACAATTCTCAAACCCAAGACAACAGGTAGCAAAGGAAATCAATTCCACACCTATTAATAGCAAAAAAGTAGGGCAAAATTAATGCCACCTACCAGTAAAGGAATGGGTGAAGGTTCTTGAATGCAAATATGGGAGAGAAAATGAAACTCACCTTGAGTATACAATTGGCCATATGTAAAAGATAGGGTTGGAATGAAGAGCAGAAGTCGGCTAAACATCGGCACAACAATAAAAGAACACGTATGCAAAGGGCGTGGCACAAGGAGAACCACACACGCAGCACCTAGTTCAACTCAACAGTAAGGCTGACGGAAGAACAGTAAGCTGAGAATGGACAGCAATTGGAACAAAATTGGATTTCGAATTTCGAATTCAGAACCGAGAAGGGAAACATCGGAGACGGAGCTATGAACAGGGAGAGACGGAAGACTGACTTAACGACAAATGGGCAGAATTCAGAGACGTCCATCCAGGTCACTCTTTATATAAGTAGGAGATATGATAGTAGATTAGTAGTTTAGAAAATTCATGAAATTATATTGTGTAATTTCTTATACGAGAATAATAGTTCCAGTAAACACAAAAAAGTTATGTGTACACTATCAATTTATATCAGATACAATTTGATTCGGTGTACTAAATTGTGTAATAAACAATGTAGTAAGATTATAACTATTTTTCTTAATGAATTTGCAAAAGATGACTTGTTTGACTATTTTTCATATAATTCATCATAAAACATGTCTTATATATTTTTTGTTATAATCTAACCGATTTAAACCATTTAACCACTTCAAGTAAATTCAGTATTATCAAACACACTCGTAATCAATAAATTTTTAGTTCTATTCAAAAGTTCTGAATCCTAATCCCAGAAATTACATCAAAACATCAATTAAAAACTTAAAAATGTCAAAACTAATCCCTTCCGCGTTCGTCTTTTTATTAAGGGGGAATTGAACTTTGCACCCCACATTTTGGGAGATATTGGACTTTGCACCCCATTTTAAAAAAACTTTGATTTTGTACCCCAACACATAACATTTTGTGAAGAAAAATTTCTAAATGAGGTGCAAAGTCAAAGTTTTTTTAAAATGGATTGCAAAGTCCAATATCGCCTAAAAAGTGAGGTGCAAAGTCAAATTGCCCCTTTTATTAATATAATAATAATGTCTTAATTTGTAAGACATGACTATCGACTTATCTGTTGAGAGTATCTACATTCTTGATGTCAACATTTTCCCTGCGTTTTATTTTATGTATAGATGATAGATGATCACGAATAAGAAAGAAAAACCATGAGACATCGATGATCACATTTCTCTAGTAAATCTATGTACATTTCCTTGTGCGGGTGGATAAATTTTTAAATCCACTATAAGCACATGAATAATCTTGTCACATTATTTATTATTCAATGTACATGAAATATAGGAGGGCAGAGCATACCAGGCCGGCCTGACTGAAATCACCTTCAGGTGGAGATCATTTGAGGAGCTTCTCGATGTAATTTTTGGATGAAATTTTATGAACATGTTGCTCATCAAGTCTAGTTTATCCATACCAAATATCAGCTAAAAATTCAATCAGGAAGACAGTCAAATAAATTCTTTACAAAAACTGTGCTTTATATATATATATATATATATATATATATATATATATATATATATATATATATATATATATATATATATATATATAAACAACACAGTTTTTTTCAACAATTTATTTGATTTTCTTCCTCATTGAATGTTCAGCTGAAATTTGGTATAGATGAACTAGCTTGACGAGGAACATGATCAAAAAATTTCATCAAAAAATTGCACTGGAAAGAGCCTCTGATGGCCTCGACCAAACGGCGAATCCTGTCATGCCGGCCTGACATGATCACTAGTCACTACTCGTACATATAGTACGTATATAGAAAGTACATATAGTTAGCCTATCCCTATTAGTCAGCCTATCCCTATTAGTGTGCATGTAGTTGAGATGAATTCTCATCTGTGAGATGCGTAGCTTTATGTGTATACATACAGCCAAGTGTAAATCATTTTATTATGTTAAATATATCTTCTCGTTCATAATTCTACATGGTATCAACTATCAAGAGTTATGGTTGGACTCGGGTCGGGCCACCCGGCCCGTGGACCGGCCCGGCCCGGTTCTCGGGTCCGGGTCGGGCCTAGGCCTGAGGGTAGGGCGGGTCCGGGCTCGAGTCTCAATTTTGGTGAACCGGGCCCAGGCCAAATTGATTTTTTTTTATTTTTTTTTTTTCATTTTTGGGGTTCCACCCGGGTTGGGCTTGATGGGTAGGATGGGTTTGAGGGAGTTTGGGAGGGTGGGGGGTGAGGGGGGGAGGGGTTAGGAAAGCAACAAAAAAAAAATCCAAACCGCAGGCCCGGCCCGGACCGGACCCGGTGGCTACCCGGGCCGGTCCCGGGTCCACCATTCTTGAACCGCCGGCCCGCCCGGGCCTAGGCCCGACCCGGACCCAGCCCGGACCCGAGTCCACCCATATCAAGAGTTATTCTCTAAAGAGCTAATCATTCAATTTTTTTTCATGATTATCTCATAATGGTAATCACCTCAACCACCACTGTTATACCGCTCACCGCCACCTCCCACTTCCCCTTCAAATTGACGGTCTCCAATTTTTCCGTTTGCAAATGCCAGGTTCACTCCACTCTCATTGGAGTTGGCCTTGACGACTATGTTGATAGTAGTGTTCACCCCTGACGAATTTCTTGATGCAGCCAAATCTCAAATAAATCCATGTTATAGCATCTGGTATAGACAGGATAAGACGATCTTGAGTGCTCTACTCGGCAGCTGTTTCGATACCATTCAGCCGGCAATATCCTCTTCACCAACAGTGAAACTTGCGTGGGACAAATCAGGAATCATAACCGGCTGGTAAGCTGGTTCAATCCCATTTTGTTTTTGTCATTATGTCATTGGGAAGCAGATCAAAAGGGCAGAGGTCTGTCGAAAGTAGAAAAGATATGGGGAGTAGGATGGGGTTAAAACAACTAATAAAAATTAAACCCATGGCCGAACCAGCCCAGAATAGGAATTACAGGTCCAGGTCCCGAGCTCCTACATACAAATGGGCCAAATGGCAGGACCCATGACCCACCCTACCCCTGCTGTGCATAACTTAAATTTACACCAAGATTTAGCAAGACTGCAAAAGGGCAGGGGGTGGGGGCAGGTGAACAATCATATACTACTTGATAAAATAAAATTAGTCAGGTAGCTGCAAAGCCTGCAATGTACAAATATACATGCCACAAAATATATCGGATATAATAAAGCCTCAAATAGCACTCAACTCAAAAAGAAAAAACTTAACAATAATAGCAATATGATATAATAATAGAATAACATTAATAATACAGCAGAAATAATAAAAACCCATAAGAGGAGATCAAGCCATCAGTGTGAATGGGAGAAAAAGAGCGACCAATGACAATTATCAAGCCGTAGAGCAGCAAGGTTTTTTTGTGTTAGAATCTTGTGCACTAACATCGAGAGTCTTTCCTCCTTTAATATTAACCCCAATTGCTGGCTCCTCTGAAGACAGTGACTTCTTACTAATAGTCCGATAGATTTCTGAAAGAATGGTGTGGAATGCCTTCTCTACATTAGTTGCCTCCAAAGCAGACGTTTCAATGAAAGAGAGGCCTTCTTTTTCGGCATAGCTTTGAGAATCCTCCGTAGTCACTGCACGGAGATGGGCTAGATCGGCCTTATTCCCAATCAAGGTGATCACAATGTTTGAGTCTGCATGATCTCTGAGTTCCTTCAACCAACGGCTCACGTTTTCAAAGGTTGTTGGTTTTGTCACGTCATACACTAATAGAGCCCCAAGCGCACCCCTATAGTATGCACTAGTTATGGCACGATATCTCTCCTGTCCGGCAGTGTCCCATATCTGAGCCTTCACCGTCCTTCCCTCAACCTATACATAGCAAAACACAATTAATCATAAATGTCGATTGTCGAGAGGGAGAAATCTAATCTAATTCCAAACTAATAAGAACAAATATACTAGCTGCAGACTGATCAAATAGCTGTTATTCCTGATAAGTGACTCCTCCAGCCTCCAGGTTTAATCATCTTATGAACAACATTGAGATTCTCAACTATCAATCCAGTTTGGATTGAGGGCCTTGGAGTGCTTAGTCATATTTTGTTAATATTTCAAATTTATAAAATATGAGATATACTATGTATATATCAAGACATGGAATAAGCCCGAAAGCATTCACCTAATAGCCACTCCAAACCCTCCATCAGATAGAGGTCAATGAATAGTTTTGAAAGAGACGAGTATAGATGGCATACCCAGGATCCTCAATTTGACCTAGCTATGCCCCAGAGGCTAAGTCTAAATGTTAGCATATATGTGAGATTTTATACAAATTGACGAAGTAACAACAAAGGTGGGCATACAAAGTAGTTACAAACATCTGAATCACCTTATCACTATTCATCAGTTTAAAAAAACTAATGCATATTTATCAAGATATAGATTATGCCCTCCAAGTCTTTTTCTCCATGACCTTCAAAACCCTGATTCTAAGTCTCCAACTAACCCATGCTGATTAACAATAGGCAATATGTTGTACTTTTTTTTATTTGGCATTTGTGAGCAAACTCGCTAGTAGCTACGCATAATCCAGCATTTGACTAGTGGAGCTAGAAAAATTATCAGGAGACACAAAACCATCAATCCAACCAAATAATTAAGAGAAGAGTTGTTATGATGCACCTATTAAAGTAACCCTAGCCTAAAGATGTCACTATGAAATTAACAAAATTGCGAGTGGTCAAAACTGCGAGGTCTGAGTCACAGTTGAAGAGATTAGATTAAACACAGATAGTGCAAGTGATGTATAACAAAATTGAGGGCTTTTCCATACTGATAGAAAATTACAAATCCGGCCCAATCCATCACCGTAGTATGATCCAGCGGCTCCAGCCTAGTTATATACTCGTTCTATTCTTAATGAAAAGTATAGAATCATCAATTTCATTATCCATGCATAAGCGTATGAATTGTGAATTTGATTATTAAATACTTTTAAGTCACAAAATGAGTGTAAATAGTGTAAATTTGTTCGGATAAGATTTTCAAGATGGCTCGATATTTGATTCACCGACAACGACACTCTTCACGCTCATTTATGCTCTATCCGGGTAAGGCGAACTTAACTAAACCTAGCGCAATAAAGTAAATCTAAGTTTTAATAATAACTAAATGAACCTAAGTGAACCCTGGTTCATGCGTAAAATATTCTTTAGGAATAAATAAGATGAACCTAGGTTAATGTAATAAATGTTGTTTGGATGAAGGTTCTCTAATTCATTAATGACATGTATGCCCTTTATTGAAGTATTACACGACCTATGAAGAGGTAAACCCATCAAATGACATGACTTTTGCACCTAAAAATTAGAATGTTTGAACTGAGAAAATGTGAATCAAAAGGTTTGATTAATGTTTAGTTTTAAATCATAGGACAAGTCTTACTCAAACATTTTAACAAACACTTTGTATGCACCACATATGTATTTGTACATAAAACCTACACAAATAGATTTTCCCAATAAACAAAATAAAATAAGTCCATACGTAATTCAATTAGTACAACACATGAAAATAATTAAAAATTTAAAATTGCCTAATGGCAGAGACAAAAGAGGGGGAAGAGGAACAGAGGAGAATAGAAGGGGCGGGGAGGAGAAAGAGGGTAGGTGAGGAACAGACTTGGTGTGCTACAATGAAGTTAGCAGGAGATTGAAGCTGGCTGTAGAATGAAACCGGAGGGAGGGAAACATGCAGATAGAGGGGAGATGAGGAAGAAAGAAAGCGTAAATAAGGAGAGGAGTGAAGCCTAGTGAGGGTTACAATTGGAAAGGATGGAAAAATATATTTTACCTAAGAACTTAACCTCCAAAACCCCCCAATTATGAGGTTCTTCAATTTTAAGTTTTTCCAGGTTCTTAAGAGTTATGTGAGGTTAACCTAAATCTAATTAACAACCTAGATTTTTGTTGTAAGTAAAAAAAACAAGGTTAACTAAACATTGAACCTGCAATAACCTAGGTTAACCCTCAAACAAACAGTTCATTAGTCATTTTATAAAAAATTAGAATAACTGCTTAATCAATTTCAACATCTGTACTTATGTTCCACCAAACACAGATCAATTTCCAATGATAGACCAAAACACAATAGATGCTACAGAGAAGATCCAGCCGAACAGTACCAATCAAATGGCTATTCAGATCCTAAATACGGAGTACGACAAAATGGAGATCACATTGACGAATACATACATGAACATGTACGGAACACTAAGAATCACAGATCTAAAAAAGTGCAAAACCCAGAACTGAGCAACCATTGTACGCAAGTGCAATAGATACTGCCATACTAGATGAATTTGAAGGGAATGCTATCAATTGGGGAGGAGAAATAGCACAAAGAAGAAAAGGGGGTGACCTCAAGTGTACGAGTGGCGAATTCAACGCCGATGGTTGACTTGGACTCTAGACAGAACTCGTTTCTGGTGAATCGGGAGAGCAAGTTAGATTTGCCTACTCCTGAATCTCCGATCAACACAACTTTGAACAAATAATCGTACTCTTCATCCGGTCTTCTCGCCATTTCAAGGAAATCTCTCTCACTCAAACTCTCACTCAACCACGGGTCTCTCGCTCTCTCTTTCTTCTGCAATCAACAGCTCTCTTGTGGTGACGAAAATGCCCCTGCCTCGGTAATGTCACACGGAGTACTGCGTACGGACTACGGAGTACAACAGACCGTAGATCTTTTTGTTAGCCCAATTTTTCGTTCCCGCCCGAGAGCCTGCATAAGACGATCTACTTGATTTTTGGGAGGATGTTCATTCACTCGATCCAATGATGGTAGATCTTTTTTCGTGCGCACCAGAGTCTTAGCCCTATTTCAGGTTCTGTGATCTCTTCACGACCGTTACAGATTTCGAATCTTGATCACTTAGTTCAAATTTCTCACCACTGAACCAACTAAACTACATGTGCGGGTATAGCCCATTTTTTCGCATTATCAAACTTAACCACCATTTTTTTCATCAAACAAGTAATTTTGTATTTCACGCACGCCGAATTGGTCTAATAATAAGAAACAGTAATGTTAAAGTTACTTTTCTGACTGTATTGGCTGAAATTGACCATTTTAGCTATTTTTACATATGATTTTTCTTTCTTTTATTAATAAAATACATTTTAAATATATCTTTTTAATAAATTAGCACAATTTAATATAATGCTAAAATTTAGGATTTTTAAATAAAACTTATTTACACAAATATGACTAATAGTTATCACAATGTAATGGTAACTTAAGTTTAGAAATTGAACATAAGAACAATTTTCATTGTGGTCATATATATGTAATTATTTCTAAAATATAATGTTCATATTCATTCTCATTTATTTCCTTAAATGGTGTTCTTACTATAAATATAAAATCGGGTATTAGCCCTTAATAGGACTAAAATAAGCCCAAAATTCAACAATAGGAGTACAATCCCTTTATTCTCAAAATAGGACTAATATAGTAATATATGTCCCTTCTTCATGTTCTATCCTCTTCCTATAATTTCCGATAGATTTATTTTATTAATAATAAAATCATAGTTTTATTTATAATAAAATATAAAAAATAATAAACTATTTATAAATTAATAATAAAAACCTGGAAAATAAAATAAAAATAAAAAAAAATCAAAAAAAAAATACTCCCTCCGTACCGAAATAATCGTCCTGTTTTGACCTTCACACAGATTAAGAAAACAAAATTGGCTTCACACTATAGCGACATCGTTTGGCACTGTAGCGACACTGTTTGGCACTGTAGCGACACTGTTTGGCACTGTTTTGCACTGTTTGACACTGTTTTGTATAAATTTGTTTATCAAATAAGGAAAGGAGACAATTATTTCGGGACGGACCGAAAAGGAAAGCAGGACAATTATTTCAGGACGGAGGGAGTAAAATGTTTAAAAAACTTTAAAAAGGTCTAAAAAATAAAATAAAATACCAAAAAAATATTTAAAAAATATGTAGGTCATTGCCAACGCGTCCTCTACCTCCCAACACCACCAGCTCCGGTCGCCGAAAAATATCATCTTGTGTAAAAATGCCACATTTATCTGAAAATGCCACGAAGATGACATTTTTACTCTTTGAAAATATCCAGCTTTCTCTTCAAAATTGCCATCATGATGACATTTTCCTCCCAACTTGGCAATCTTTTACGGCGACCAGAGGTGGCGGTGCTGGAAGGTGGCTGAGGTGGTGGTTGAGGTATGTATATTTTTAATTTTTTTTTACTTTTTTTTTAATTTTTTATATTTTATGATGATTGTATAAAAAAATCTATTAAGAAGGACAAAGGAAAAGGTAGAATAGGAAGAGATAGTTCTATTTTGGGATTATAGTCCAATTTACACCCTCCTAAAAGTACAGTCTGATCGGGGTCGGGGGCCAGGGAGTGCTTATATAGCGCATCTGGGTGTACGTACACCCGGCCCAAGTAAGAAAGACAGCTCAACCACTAATACATGTCAAAAAATATACGGTGGCATTTTTGTAATTTAAGTGAAAGATCATGATTTCCGCTAAATGAGTAATATTTTATTGAGTATTTAAGAGACTAAGAATGAGTATCACGATCTCTGCTTCATATTTTCTAATTCTTTTTCTTATTTTTTCTTTTATAAAAAACTTATTAAATTATATCTATAATACACTCCTATTAATTTCAATATGCGAGTCTAATGTAATTTGATACTTTTGAAATATGCATTGATATAACAATTCAAAAATAAGCACAACATCGGTACCAAATGAACATACATAAGTTTTAAGTATAAGATAAGAACCTAACAATTGAACAGAAGAATTTTGTCTCTCATATGTAGCGGTTTTATGTATAAGAAAATAAGTTTGCTAATAATTGAGCGGGGGAATCTTCTCTCTCACATGTAGCGTTTCAATGTATCAGAAGATACATTTGCTAACAATTGAGCGGGAAAATTTTCTCTCTCATATGTAATGCTTCTAGGTATTATTATTATAGAAGATAAATGTGCTAATAATTGAGCGGGAAATCTCTCTCTCATATGTAGTGCTTTTAAGTATAAAATAAAATAAGATAATCATTTCATACTACCAAACGGGCTCCTAGAGTTACTTTTTGAGTTGAATTGATTAAATTTACTATAGATAATCATTTTTTGCTATTTTTCATATATATTTTTTTTCTGTTTTGCTAATAACATAGATTTCAAATGTTCTTTTTACATAATTTAACATATGCAGCCAAATTAGATATTACAGCTAGAATTTCATCAATTTTAATAGATTCATTCGATTCAACCAATTTCAATGATACCAAACATATTCTATATTGTCACTTTGTCTATTAAAGCCGCTCAATGAAACTCATACGGAACATCAACAATAAGAAACATAAAGTTATAATACTCCGTAGTTAATTTTCTTACCATCATCTCCGTCATATGATCTTTAGCTAGATTTTAATTTTTATAATCCATGTTTGGTTTGTTGAACATTGGTGTTGTTTTCTGCAACATGTATACTTCACAGCCGCATGTAGGATTTTAGATCTTTCCAATTCTTATTTTAGAATCTGGTAAACATGGACAAATTTCTAAATCAGGATTATGCATAAAAACTTTTTTTTTTGAAGTGTTATAACTTTTTTATTCTTGCTCCAATGTTTACATAAAATATATCAAAATTCATATATTTTTTATCTTTGATATGAGATCAATATCTGTAAAAGATATTCATATATAGTGCTTCTAGATATTAGCAGATAAACTTGCTTTTAGGTATTAAAAGATAACTTTTCTTGCAATTGATCGAGATAACTTTCTCTCTCATATGTAGTTAATTTAAGTATTCCTTATATAAGATAAGTCGGCTCACAATTGAGTGGGATAATTTCCTATCTCATATATCTTGCTTTATGTATATGAAAATAAGAAGATAAGCTTTCAAACAATTGAGCGGGGTAATTTTCTTTCTCATATGTAATTTTTTTAAGTATGATAATCCCACTTACAATTGAGCGGGAGAATTTTCTTTCCCATATGTAGTGCTTTTAGGTATAAGAAGAAGAAGATAATATGATAAACCGGCTAACAATTGAACAGGAAAAGATTCTCTTTCATATGTAGTGATCTTAGATGGGCTTATACTTTATGGTATTAGCTCACTGTACTCTTATTTTTTGAAAATGTAGAGTCCTAAAATGTTATTTTTATTTTTATATTTAATTAGATCATGAGTAAAAATATATGCATCAACTGTTCTTTCCCGTGTGTATGCACGAGTAGTATATATAGTGGTTTTAGGTAAAAGAAGATAAACTTGCTAATAATTGAGCGTAATAATTTTCTCTCTAATATATAGTGTTTCTAACTTTCTATGTATGAGAAGATAACAATGCTAACAATTGAGCAGAGAAATTGAGCGAGAAAAGTTTCTCTCATATGTAGTGCTTTTAGATATTGAGCGGGAAAACTCTCTCATATGTAGTTCTTTTAAGTATAAGATAAGATAAGAACCTAACAATTGAGCAGAAGAATTTTGTCTCTCATATGTAGCGGTTTTATGCATAAGAAAATGAGCTTGCTAATAATTGAGCGGGAGAATTTTCTCTCTCACATGTAGTGTTTCAATGTATCAGAAGATACACTTGCTAACAATTGAGCGGGAAAAATTTCTCTCTCATATGTAATACTTTTAGGTATTATTAGAAGATGAATGTGCTAATAATTGAGCGGGAAATCTCTCTCTCTCATATGTAGTGCTTTTACGTATAAAATAAGATAAGTCAACTAACAATTGAGCGTGAGAACTTTATCTCTCATATGTAGTGGGTCTGAGTAACAGAAAATAAGCTTCCTAATTTGAGCTGGAGAATTTTCTCTCTCACATGTAATGCTTCTACATATTACAATATAAGTTTGCTAACAATTGAGCGGGAAAATTGAACAACCTAAGACAATTTTCTCTCTCATATATAACAAATTTAGATATATGAAGATAAGAAAATAAGCGTGCTAACAATTGAGCGGACAAACTTTCTTTTTCATAGGTAGTTCTTTTAAGTATCATAATCCAACTAACAATTGAGCAAGAAAATTTTCTCTCCCATATGTTCTGCTTTTAGATATAAGAAGATATGTAAGTTAAAAATTGAGCGGGGGAGTTCGCTCTCTCTCATATGTGGTGCTTTTAAATATTACAAGATAATCTTGCTAATTATTAAGCGGGAAATATTTATATATTAATTTGTAATTAGATTATGAGTACAAATATATGCACCAATTGCTCTTTTCCGTGCGTATGCACGGGTACTATATAACTTGTGTAAGTGTACTTACGAGTGTAAGTGTACTTACGGGTGTACCATATAACTTGTGTGAGGATGTGTCATCCTTTTAAACCAACTTTAAACTCCTGTGGTGTGGTCAGGTAAACTGCAAATTGCACGGCATATAGCAGCGGAAGAAGCTTACTTGTCCATCCGAGCTAGCTCAAATGGTCTGTCATTCTCCAACTTCTTTTCATTTCCACTCCAAGTCCCAATCAGTGGTTACAGTACTCCCTCATCTGAATGAAGCTACTCAATTAGGATCAATCCATGGCATCAGCTGGTGCGGGGACCTTTCTTCCAAATTCTACCTCCTCAGTTCCCAACTTCCGGTCCCCCGACCACAACCGTCGCCGGGGGCCTACACTTTCTCCGCCCAATTCCTTCACCGGACGCCGCAAAGCTTCTCCGGATGGCTATCCTTCCACCTCTAAGGAAACCTTCACTGGTACGCACTGGTTCTTTCTGACTCGTAACTTATCATTATGACTCACGGATAAACTTAACTCCATAACTTTATAATTCATTCCTTTTAGAAAAACTTTGCAATTCTTTAGTAAGGAGTGACAAATTGTTAGTATATACTTCGTATCTGTTAAGAGTCCATAATTGGAAATTAAAGCGAGATAGATAAATTTATTACAATTTGATATAGATTAGTTAATCGCTTGGATCAGACTATTAGAGTTGATTCATGTGCATTATAGGCTTATAGCCATTGAGCTATCTTGATTCTTGACCCATTTATGAATTATTCCATCCAATAAGTAGAAAGTTACCTGTGTAGTTGTAGCAGTTGTATGATCTATTGTGTAGAGGTTGAGAAAAGCAGATATAGTCACTTTATTACAACATGTGTAATGTATATTTGTCCCACAAGGTTTTCTTTATAAGATAATAAATTAATACTCCATTCCCATAAAACAACGCCAAAATAAACATACACATGGAAGAATAAAGTAAAAATTGTGTGGTTAAGATTTGTATAGAGATATAAATAACTTTAACCATATATTTAGTACTTTACATGGAAAAAGTAAAGTTTTTGGGACGATTAAATAAAGAATGTTGATAAAGTTTCGTGTGACGGAGTGAGTATATAAGAGCTTGTCCTACTGCATTTAAACCTTTTACGATGGAACTCTAAGGTGTTAATGGGCAACCCATTGAGCCACAGTTGTGGTGTGGGCCCCTGTAGAAACAAAAAACTATAACGGTTATAATGAACCAATGACCTACTGATCAAAGATGAAACCTATTGAAAAACATGAATAATGCCATGATCCAAATGAGTTATCTTAATATAAGATAATAATTAACTTTTTATAATGGATTGCCATGGCCTTAACATCTAACAAAATTTCTATTATTGATCTAGAGGTTATGTCTGAAAAGGATTTACATGATCTACGGAATCTAATTAAGGTTTGTGGATATCTTGTTCTATCTTAATGTGAGTTGCAGAAATATAATGTGCAGGGAAGCCAGAAGCAGATGTTGTTGTTATAGGGAGTGGTATCGGTGGCTTATGTTGTGCCGGACTTCTTGCTAGATACCAGCAAGACGTTTTGGTACTCGAAAGTCACAATGTACCAGGGGGTGCTGCCCATCCCTTTGATGTTAAGGGCTATAAATTTGACTCAGGCCCTTCTTTATTCTCCGGCTTTCAATCAAGGGGACCACAGGCAAATCCTTTAGCACAAGTAGGCAGCCTTTCATATTTACCCATCCATTAAAAAATTGGGAAGTTTTCGTGTCAGTTCTTTATTGAAAATGGGCTTCGATGTTTGCAGGTACTTGATGCTTTGGGTGAATCCATTCCCTGCGCAGATTATGATTCGTGGATGGTATACATACCCGAAGGTGAATTTTTGTCTCGCATTGGCCCAACAGAGTTCTTCAAGGTTGACATCTAGTGCATTATTTCGGTCACTGTACACCTTTTGCATTATGCATAACTCATTCTATGTGTTAAGTGATACCAAACCTAACAAATGTAAGAATACAAACCAACGTACGAGACATTGCATTACTTATATGACTAGAGTGGCTAATCTTTAGGATGAAATCATTAAGTTTTAAATTCTTAATATGGTAGTCCTAATTCTGTGTACATTATTGTTAATGCGCATGAAGTTTCTTGCCCTTCAGTGAAGTCTTTTGTTATTTCATTGCTACTATTGCACCAGAGTGAGTACATAAACTGGAAATTTTTCCTAAAGAGCTATGTGGCCCTTTATTAAGTCACTGAGTGCTGGTAACATAAAATGAATTGTATTTTTAGTTAACTTAGGTTATGATTTTATGTGTGAGTTATTTTATGCATCTCATTGGTATCTATCTTTTGATTGGCGGTTAGCCAGAACTTATCAAAATGATTCACTTTCAAGCTTCAACAATATATTCATCAGGATCTTGAAAACTATGCTGGTCCTGATTCTGTGAGAGAATGGAAAAAGCTTCTAGTGAGTTCTACATTTTCTCTCTCCACATCTGTCCTATTTATTGAAAGTAATTTTATTTTAATGGAAAAAGCTTCTAGTGAGTTCTACATTTTCTCTCTCCACATTTGTCCTATTTATTGAAAGTAATTTTATTTTATTATGGAGCGTAGGCATGGCAATGGGTCAGGGCGGGGCGGGTACTGCAAGATCCAAACCCGCCCCGTGACTTGATGGGACGGGTCCGCCCCACCCCGTGACTTCGGGGCGGTCCGCCCCGTCCCGTGACTTGACGAGGCGGACCCACCCGCCCCGTGACTTGACGGGGCGGGTCCGCCCCGTGACCTGCACGTGTCCAAACTTGTTGACCCATGACCCGCCCCATGCAGGGCGGGTCCGCCCCGCGGTAACCCAATTAGCTAGTATGTTTTTTTATTTGTGAGAAGTTGTTACCAATTGAATCTACATAAAGTTTATCTTTAAATAATTATTAAAAATAATTTATTAAATCAAATTCACGATACGCTAGAAATTTCAAAAGTTAAGGAAAATTCACTTAGACTTGAATAGTTAATCTATTTAATTATATTAATACTTGAATATATGTATTAAAATGCTATATATAAAGAAGACATTGATAATCCTTCATTCATCTCAATCTAATATATATATATTGACATATTATAAGATCAAAGAATTTATGATTTATTGTATACACACATATGTAAGTTGAAGTATATTTGTAGTATAGTTTAAGAAAAAGTATGTATATACTTATATATTGAGCGGGTCGAGGCGGGGCGGGTCAGGGCGGCACGGGTCAATACTAATACCCGGACCCGCCCCATTGTATAGGCGGGGCGGACCCGCCCCATTTGCGAGACGGGGCGGGACAGACCTGCCCCAAATGTCTCGGGCCAGGGCAGGTCATTGCGTGCCGGGTTTTTTTGACATCCCTAATGGAGCGTGTTGGGCTTGCTCCATAAGGAGCAGGTGTTCCTAGTCATTGAGAGGACCGGAACGGGAAAGAGTTGGGGCCCCTATATTTAATCTATAATTTCAAGAAGAAATCAACAGTAAGTAAAGGTGGGATTCAAAGTTCATACCCAAGACTTTTTCTTCACATTTACAGATCAAGTGAGAAAATGCTATACTATGTTAGAATCCAACTTGAATAAACACTTCAGCTCATCTATATATATACTGCATGTGTCCCGACTTTTTGATGGGTATATAATATAATAAGATCATTGATGATAACTGTGATGTTATAGGTATATTATTTGATGATTAATTTTTTATTTAAGAGTGATAATTATATCCTAAAATAGAAATGAGAAGCTTTAGCTGGGTTGTACAAAAAAGGAAGGTGAGAAGCTTAATTTGGGACAGAGGGAGTAACTATTTTAAAACTATATATTTTAAATTCATCTGGGCCCTCATTAGAAAGAGTCCATGGGTGGCTCTGCTTTGACCTTCCTAGGGGCTCAGACATATATTAAGTTCTATGCTTGTTAATGAGGGCCCAGATGAATCTGGGCTCTATATATTAACAACCTAATATATTAAGTTCTGTTGATGCCTTGTAGAATCTGGGCCCTCTTTAATCTGGGCCCTCATCAACAGAACTTGCATGCTTGTTAATATTTTAAGTTCTGTTGATGCCTTATAGAATGTCACATTACCTGAGATTTGAGAAACTTCTTTAATTTTATGATGGCCCTCACGAGTTCTGCATTTTCTCTCTCAGCATTGAGCTTGTTTAATGGATGCTTAGTTAGAACGTTTACCCACTCTAAGCAGGGGTGTAACTAAACGAGTTGAGCCAAGCTTATGCGTGTTCATGTTTTTCTGTTAAGCTTTAGGGTTGTATAGAAAAAAAAACAAGTATCATTGTGTCTTTGTTCATTTCTTTACTGTTCATTAGTGAGTTACTGAGTTCATTGGCTATAACAAACAAACTAAAAACGTCAAGCACACAAACTTAACAAATTTTAATAAACAAATATACAAACTGACGCGATCAATGTTTTCATAAACTACAAATATTTAAACAGCCGATTATATCCACAAAATCTGTAATACGATATTGTCTATCTCAAAATAGAATCAAAAGCATACAAACAATTTCAATTCGAGTTTTCTCAAAGTCAACATAGACAAATAATAGTAAAGTGATCAAAATATTTATGAATGGAGACATTCATTCTTTATTAGTTTTCAGTATTTTTTAGAAGATTTTATAATTTTATAGAACTGTAATCTTTATATATACCAAAAGAGTAAGAAAGGTGAGAAACATACATATTCATGAACCTGATAAAAGAGTATGCTCGTGGATCTTCTAACTGCTTGAGCTATGTTCAGTTAATTAAGGAGCACAAAATTTTATTCATTTATGTATACCAGCCGAGCTAGCTCACGAGGAACCTGCTTATTTACAGCCGTAGCCCTGAAACTTTGAGAAATTCATTTGTTGTTAATCAAATCTCAATTTTTTTTAGTTGAAACTTATTCTCAATTATTGTTACTAAAACTTCTCCTCTTGTGCATATAAAAAATGCTATTTGGTGAAGGATACAATTCTTCCAATGTCAGCTGTGGCAATGGCTCTCCCTCCTCTGTCGATCAGAGGTGACATTGGTGTCCTCTCCGCCGCTGCTGCAAGATATGCACCCTCTCTCTGGAAATCATTTGCTCAAATGGGACCTCGTGGGGCCCTTAGTGCTACAAAGCTTCTTAGACCCTTTTCAGAAATTATTGATTCATTGGGGCTAAAAGATCCTTTTATACGGAACTGGCTCGATCTTCTCTCTTTCTTGCTTGCTGGGGTCAAAACTAATGGCATACTCTCTGCAGAGATGGTAACTTTGGGAATCCTAAGCTCTCTAATTCTAGATTAAGAAGCTCTTGAGGATCTGGCTTAGAGCCCATCTGGTTATAAACTCTTTTTTGGCTTATCAGTCAGGTTGAAGCGGCAAATAACAAAAAAGTCATATCTAGGTTGAAGGTACCTTTTTTTGGCTGAAATGGTTGAAATCAATCAAAAGTCTCATCTTTTTTCATATTTAGATATTACACCCTGACTCATAAAACTTGTCCAAAATTAACTTGCACGTGGAATAATAAAATAAAAACTTTGTGGTTGAGATTTGTGTAAAAGAGAGAAAAATAACTTTGGATGTTTTTAATTGGACTAATTTCAGTCTCAAACCAGAGCAAATCGGACTTAAATGAACACATTAGACTCGACTTAAGCAATAGTAATATATACATACACCATAAATTTACAAGACCAGACCATAAAATTTCACTCCAATTAAAGACATCCTTTAATCACATTTATGACTTTAAATTGAAATGACAAAGTTTTTTGGGATGGCTAGATAAGGAAAGTTGACAATTTTTTGTGGGATGGATGGAGTATTATAATTGTTTAAAAATGTTTTGTTTACTGTAAACTTTTCAACAGACTTGACCAGTTTGAGCTATATCAGCAAATTCAGCTATATAGGCTTGAGAAAACAGGCTCTTAGTGTTTGCATTATTTAATTTTTCTATGCTTAAAAGTTCACGATAGCATTGTCCCTTGGATGCCTTATAAACAAGGTCCTAAAATCCTATTTTTTAACTTCAAATTATAATCGAGAAACATCTTTCGTGGGAGTAGTGAATTAGTAACATTGTGTACTCATATTATAGGTTTATATGCTCTCTGAATGGTATAAGCCTGGTTGCACATTGGAGTATCCTCTCTGTGGAACTGGAGCTATAGTTGATGCCCTAGTGAGAGGATTACAGAAGTTTGGTTGCCGGATTTCTCTCAAGAGCCATGTAGAAAATATTGTTGTTGAAAATGGTAGAGCTACAGGAGTGAAACTAAAAAGTGGCCAAGTGAGTACCAAATATTATGAATATGATGACACGGGTAGTTTATGACTTTATGTAGAATTATCTGATGAGGGGATTCGTTTACTGCAGGTTGTTCATGCTAAAAAGGCTGTTGTCAGCAATGCATCCATGTGGGACACTATGAACTTGTTACCAAAGCATGTTATTCCAAAAACATATCAGGACCGGATAAAAAGCACCCCACAATGTGGATCGTTTATGCATCTACATCTGGGCTTCGATGCAAAGGTGAGATACGTACCCTTTTTTATTTATAGATTAGATATTATCATATTACCACGTACAATTTCTTTAGAGTCCATTTGGAAACTGTTGTTTGGCTTACATGAATAAATGGTAAATGTTTTGAAAGGAAATCGTTTGGTAATTTGATTTCAACCAAACAAGTAAGTCTAAGCTACTACTATACTCTGCTTAACCTGTTTAGCTTATTCTGCTGATAAGCACAATACTTCAATTAATGCTTCAAAAACTGGACCTTAATAACAAAGTCAGGGTCATCTTTGATGAGTGTTTTATTGCATAAAAAATGGTTGTGATTAGGGAATACACAATGACCTGGGAATCCATCATATAGTTGTAAATGACTGGGAGAGAGGAGTTGATGCCGATCAAAATGTTGTCCTGATCTCTATACCTAGTGTGCTTAGCCCTGATCTCGCTCCACCAGGGAAACATGTCTTGCATGCCTATACACCCGGAACTGAGCCTTATGAAATTTGGGAAGGACTAGATCACAACAGCAATGAATACAAAAATCTCAAGGCTGAACGGTCGGAGGTATATTAGGACTGTTTTGTTTTGTTTCATTCCTACTTTTGTTCTTTGTTTAGGAACTTGATATGTACTGGTATTAAATTCATTGCATATGACTTTGATTTCCTATTTGGCTGGTGCTAGGGATATTGTTCATGACACTACATAAGTTTGCATGTTATAGATTTATTAGATTTGATTTTAAGTGGAGTAGTTGGCTAGACATTGACATTTGTGCACAATAGTGAGGCTTGGACTTTGTTCTTGATGGATATAATATATGAATCAATCGGCTGGTTTGAGGCCTCGGGTGCAGACTGTCTACTACACTCAAGGAAGGCTGAAGCCAGTGTTCAGATTGTAGAGCTCAATGACCTCAAACATCTTTAGAAACTTTGCATTTATCATTTTATTGTAGCATATACTCTGTTACATTTTTACATCATATAATGACTTGTAGTTGAAGATATTGCTCTAAATGTGAGTAAAACATAGACAAAGTTCAAATATAGAACTAAATATATCTTATTCCCAAAATAGGAGTTACTTAGTCCTAATAAAAGAATGAAAATAATAAAACTTAACTTGTATGAGTAATTGAATCCTATTTTAGGAAGAAAATAATGATGGTCCTATTTGAGGAACTGAACTAGATTTTACACCTATTTAAGGAACTTTTTCATATAATTGTTCCCACTTGATGGGAAGTATGGACAGATACCACAAAACTAGGGATGACAATGGGGCAGGGGTTCACTCCCCCATCCCCGCCCCGTGTCTAAAAAATCATCCCCACCCCCGCCCCATCCCCCACTACTATTTGACCCGCCCCATCCCCGCCCCGACCCGCTAGACCCACGGGGTACCCAACGGGGGAAATATTCGTCAAAAATTAACACTATTTTAGACTAAGACAGTTTTTCAAAAACCAAACAACACTTCTAGTATGTAGCCAAAAAGACTTTTAGTTTTTAAGTGTCAATGTAATCTTACATCCTATTTCAAATTTAGAACACATTATACACGTTTTGATTTAGTCATTTTATCAAACACTTTATTAGCATTGGTTAACTCTATAATATTTTCTTGAGCTCTAACTACAATCATAAAGATGACTTTCACAAGAAAAGAATTAATGCACTATAGTAGTAAACGAAGAAAACATTCACACTGTGCCTGAGGAGTTTAAGCTAATATCACTTTATAACTTTCCCAAATTCATTTTACTTTATATAATTTTGATAACCAATTTTACAAGACAGTTCAGTTATTAAAAAAGAATTAGATAGACCCATTAGGCAAAACCCATTAGATAGGAAACAACTAAACCCACCAGGCCACCATGCTATTTTAATTACTTCGTATTAGTAATTACATACTCCCTCCGTCCCTTATAACTTTGCCAACTTTCTTTTTTCGGATGTCCCATTAACTTTGTCATTTTCCTTTTTAAGTAAAGAATTTGTGCTTTCTGTTAATTCTCTCTCCTCTGCATAAAACTCAACCACTACTTTATTAATCCCCGTGCCGGTCAAACTTGTCAAAGTTATCAGGGACGGAGGGAGTATTTATGACTAAAATGAAAACTGTTTACAAAAATGTGACTAGTGACTAGAGTAGTAATGAAATTATAGTAACTTATGTTCAATTTTTAAACTTAGGTCACTATAACACTACATTTTAGTAACTTGTGTTTATTATTATTAATTATTAATATGTGTATATATACGGGGGACGGTGCGGGGATGCATAACCCATCACCCGCCCCATATTTAAGCGGGGAGGAAATAATTCCCCATCCCCATACCCGCCCCGCCCCACCACCTGCCCCAACTCCCCCCACGGGGCGGTTCCCCACAGCCCCCGCCCCCATTGCCATCCTTACACAAAACTGGAAATCAAAACCATAGTGGAGCTTCTTAGCAAACGCATATATCATTTAGTTGAGCAATAAGGTGAGAAAGCAGATATCTTAAATGATGGGTGAAAATATGCGATATGGACGATTACCCATACGTGAGGAAACTTTAACATGTATGACCATCAACATCTTCATGTAGCATCCATTTTGAGGAATTTTATCTATATTTTCCATTCTCACTAGTTACAGACTCAAAAGTTTCATTGTGAAAGCAGGTCATGTGGAAAGCAGTGGAAAGAGTGCTTGGTCCAGGTTTCAGTTGTGACAGATGCGATGTAAAATTGGTTGGAACCCCACTAACGCACCAAAGATTTCTTAGGAGGAACAGAGGGACTTATGGGCCGGCTATATTGGCGGGGGGTAAAGGCTCCACATTTCCGGGCCATTCAACACCAATCCCAAAGCTCTTACATTCAGTGAACCAAACATCCTCCGCCGACCACCAACTGCCGCCCAAGCAGATCTAGCCGCCGCCACTCAGATACAGACGCCACCACCGTGGATCCAGACGCCACCACCGCAGATCCGGCCCCCACCATGGCAGACCTGATCGACGCCACCACGGATGACAACTTTTTTATCAAAATGCCAACCTGAATCGAGAATGACATATTAATGGCATTTTTAAAGAAAAGTATTAATTTTTTAAAGAATAAGAATGCCATTTTGATGGCATTTTAGAAAAAAATTGGCAATCGTAAAAATGAAGTAAAGCACACCGGTTTAATTTCGAACATTATTGACAAACACAGAGGCAACAAGCCATTACAAACCCAAAACCCAGCAATTACAGATTCCAGACATGAGGAAGAAGATTGAAAGGCTCACAGAAATTCATATAGAACAAAAGAAGAAGTAAATTGAAGAAACAGAAGAGCGCGAAGGAGGAGACAGGCCACATACGTTCGTTGCCGCTGCTGACCGGCGCTCGCGTGCGCAAGCTGCCGCTGCTCACCACCTCTCTCTGTTGAAGCCGAGCTATGTGTAGAAGATGCGACCTTGCTGAGCGTGGACGAAGCTTATAAGTTGCCGCAGGGTTAAAATGAATTAGAGGGTAAAATTGGAAAATGGTCCTATTTAGGGAATAAAATTATACTTACTCCTATTCTGGAATTTTAATAACAATTTAGTCCTATTTGAGGCAATTTTTCCTAAATATTATTATTCAGCACGACACAAACAATATTTATATAACACATAATTTTTTTGGGCGGCTCTCATTTTCCGGTGAATGTTTGGTGACTTTTCGATTATTCTCAAACATCACTTTTTTCAATGTATTGACCAAGTAAATTTGAAGATGATGATGGTAGATGGAGTATGAATAAAATGTAAAAAGATAGAAAAAGAGAGAAGAAGAGGGGAGGATGAGGAAATTGTAAGAAAGTTCACCCTCTTGGGTTCCCTCCTTAATTGAGAAGTTCAAGTTAATTCTAGAAATTTGTGGAGATGTCTAGAATTCTCTATATGAGTGCAAAGAAGTATCGAATGTTCTAGAATATTCTGGAACCTTCTAGAGAGGCGTAGAATTATCTAGAAATGTGTAGAATATTCTAGAACATTGTGGAGTTTTCTAGAAATGTGTGGAATTCTCTAGAATGGTGCGGAAGCGCGTGGAAGCCTCTAGAACATTCTCAAGCAGTGTGGAGTTCTCTAGAGTCCTTCTAGAAGATTAGAGAAACTTGTGGATACCTTTTGGAAGACTCTAGAAGTGTAGTAGTGCACAAAAAGTTCTAGAGAAGTTTTGAAGAGATTAGTATAAATAAGGGTGAGACTCCTCATTCGTAAGTGAGAGCCTTGAAAGAGATCCTAGAGAGAGCCTTGTGAGAGCCTCTCTCGTTGAGTGAGTGAGTGTCTCCTTGAGAGAGGGATGTGAGAGTGAAGTAGTCCTATATACAAAGAATGAATTAAGCTACTCGTTTACTTAATCAAGCATTCCAGCCCAGCTGGTTGTGAGGTTACCGTGCCTAATGGGAGGTCTTGAGTTCGAACCCACTAGGCACACAAGGGTTTGAAACTCAATGGAGTGAGTTTCAACCCTGATTACTTCAGGCCCCAAGGCCCCCCTCCCCCAGACCCCCTCTGGAGTAAAAAAAGAATTACTTGTTTTCTTGTAAAATATCTCTTGTACACTTCAATTGTATAATACAAAGTGATATTGTTAGATTGAGTCTTTGTGTTACGAGTGAGTGAGTGAAGGTACAAGAGTTCTATGAGCTCGTGATCCTTGAAGAGGTTGGGGGGTCGTGTTTTCCCCAACAGTGGTATCAGAGCCAAGGTTGATGGAGGTAGAGATGGCAACGGGGGTGGATCGGGGACGGGTACACATAAAACCGAAACCACCCCGTTGGATAAATGTTTGCCCCGAAATTGCCCCATTACCCGTTCAGGTAATTTTTATTTGAACCGTACCCGCCCCAACGGGGAATCGGTTTATCCACGGGTAACTGTTTGCCCAAATGATACCAAATAACCAATTTCTAATCCTACTGGTTAATGTAAACATCCATCGTAATAAATTATAAATTATATATTCAGAGCACCATAAAACATACAAAATTAAATATTCAAGCAATCAAACCGTTTTAGTTCTAAATTAATTAGTATGACAAGCACCCAATATCTCTTGTATTATAATAAAAGAGTAGTAATCATCCCAGAATCTAAATTCAAAAAACAAATTTAGGCCTAAATTTAGTTTGAGGCCTAAAAAGTAGCAATCCTTCGCAAAAAAACGGTTTTAGGCCTAAATTCATTACGCTATTAAATTAACTCTGAGTTAGGGATGTTAGGGTTTTTGAAGTGGGCCTCTGGTGTATTATTCTTTATATACTTATATGGTATATACGATTTAGTGTACATCATTTAGCATATATATATTTATTATTCTTTAATATAAAGAGTTATAATTTATTAATAATGTTACAGATGGATAACGGTGCGGGTACCCGCACCATTAGTGAACGGGGCGGTTTCAGGTTGGACTAGTATAGAACCATAATCGCACCATTATCCATTTAAAAAAATCGGGTATTCCCCGCCCCGTACCCATTCCCAAATTAAACCGATTTTCCCCATTTTGATCAAATCGGTTCGGTGCGGGTATCTAACGGGTTGACCAAAATTGCCATCTCTAGATGGAGGTAGAGAAACGGGTATAGTTCGTCATGGGGATGGATCTTATGTTACCGTGATGCTAGTAGTATTGTCGGATGCATTCGAGATCATACTCTTTGATGGGATGAGGTACTTCACTATAGATCTTGATCAAACATGAACCATAGTGATATGATGCACTGTGTGGATGGTTCTTAAAACAGTCTGTTAGTGATGCATTGTATCGGAAGTCTTCCCGATATTGTGATGGTCAGGCGGTGTGTCCTGTTAGTAAACAACGGCGGTACAAGATGAATTGCAGATCAGGTGTCAGTGGAGAGGATATCTTCATGAGAACGTCGTGTATGAGGTATGGTCCTGTGATTTGATCTACTGTTGGCGCGTTGTGTAGAAAGTCTTCCTGATGTTGAGGTAAACAGGCAGCGTGCCCCGTTAGTAGAAACGATGGTACAAGATAGTTTAGTGGATCATATCTTGCTGTGGAGGAGATCATGACCACTCCTTGAGGGCTGCTCGTATGGTGTGATGTAAGCTTTGTTTGAGGGGGGGCAACTCACATTTGAGGTAAATATGGCTATATGTGAGACTGTATTAGATGTTGACTGTTACTTCTCACATTTGAGGTAAAGATGGCTATGAGTCGGTAGGGGGAGTAGCTCACATTTGAGGTAATGATGGCTATGAGTCGGTAGGGGGAGTAGCTCACATTTGAGGTAAAGATGGCTATAAGTCGGTAGGGGGAGCAACTCACATTTGAGGTAAAGATGGCTATAAATCGGTAGGGGGAGATTTGTTGGGTTCCCTCCTTGATTGAGAAGTTCATGATAATTCTACAAATTTGTGGAGATGTGTAGAATTCCTATATGAGTGCAAAGAAGTATTGAATGTTCTAGAATATTTTGGATCCTTCTATAGAGGCGTAGAATTATCTAGAAGTGTGTAGAAGAATGTAGAATATTCTAGAACATTGTGGAGTTTTCTAGAGATGTGGAATTCTCTAGAATGGTGTGGAACCGTGTGGAAGCCTCTAGAACATTCTCAAGCAGTGTGGAGTTTCTCTAAGTCCTTCTAGAAAATTAGATAAGCTTGTGGATACCTTTTGGAAGACTCTAGAAGCGTAGTAGTGCACAGAAAGTTCTAGAGAAGTTTTGAAGATATTAGTATAAATAGGGGTGAGACTCCCCATTCATATGTGAGAGAGCCGAGAGTGATCCTAGAGAGAGGTTTGTGAGAGCTTCCTCAAGTGATGAGAGAGCCTTGAGGAGAGCTCTTGAGTGAGTGAATGCCTCCTTGAGAGAGGGATGTGAGAGTAAAGTAGTCTCATATACAAAGAGTGAAGTGAGCTACTCATTTACTTGTAAAATATCTCTTGTACATTTCAATTGTATAATACAAAGTGATGTTGTTAGATTGAGTATTTGTGTTACGAGTGTGTGGGTGAATGTACAAGAGTCCTTTGAGCTTGTGATCCTGGAAGAGGTCGGGGGCTTGTGTTTTCATCAACACACCCTTCCATTGGATGTACATGCCGCTTGTCCTATGCAGTATGCACACTCTAAAAGCTTTCGACAAGAAAGTGCACTCTAAAAGCTACGACCCGATTTACATTTTTTGTCTTTTAATGGTTTATTATTTCAAATATAGTAGACTCTAAGAATGTTTTTACTTGATCTGAAATTTGTTGGTCTGGTCTGATCTGATCTGAATTGGTCTGGTAAACGTCTGGTCTCTGTGTATTTTATAACTATCCAAGTCAGGTCTGGTTTGTCTGGTCTAGGGCTAAAAGCTAAGGATGTTTTAACTTGGTTTGATCTGGTCTGTTTAAGTGTAGTCTGTCTAAATTGGTCTGGTTTGATTCGGTAAATTTCTGGTCTCTGTGTATTTTATAATTATCGAAATTTGGTCTGTCTGATTTGGGAGCGAAAGCAATCCAAATAAGAACGTTTTATCTTATTTAGAAGTAACCAAAATGATAAAAACAATGTTCTGTTTATGCATTAATATTTTATGATACAAGTGTTATTAAGGTTATGTATGTACTCCCTCCGGTCCTTAATGAAATTTACAGACTTCACACATATTAAAGACATAAATTTGACTTTACTGTAGAGTTCACTGTTTGACACTATTTAACACTGTTTGGTGTAGATTTGTTTGCCAAATAAAGCAAATAAGGAAGTGTAAAGTTTAATATGGGACGGTTCAAAAAGGAAAGTGTAAAGTTAATTAAGGACCGGAAGGAGTATATACATATACTCCCTCCTTCCCGTAAAATAGTCCCCAATTTCTTTTTTGGGCCGTCGCAAATGATAGTTCTCGTTTCATTTTTTGGAAATTTTGTGTGGCTATTATTCATTTACCTTTTTGTTACTCAACTACTACCATATATTTCTACTTTATTCTCATTTTTTTAAACTCCGATCCAAACCTTTGTGGGAAGTATTTTATCGGACGGAGTGAGAAGCAAACAAAAAGTAAAGATGGAGAAGTATTACTTCACTATAATTTGCAGGTACATTTAGGGGTGGGCAAAAATACCGGAAAATCGGTATATCGCACTTACCTTACCAAAAAATACCGAAAAATACCGAAATGTTGGTATACCGTTATTTTCGGTAGGGTATCATACCGTACCGATTTATTTCGGTACGATAATGGTAAATGTTTTCAAATACTGCGGTATACCGGTATAATACTTTACCAACTCTCTACGCAACAATTACTTTTAATTCTAAAATATTGTAAAATTCCAATACAATTTTGAAGCCCCAAATTAATACTTAGGTTTGTTACAAATACCAAAATACAAAAATAAAAGCCCAGTTTCCCAAACTCACTATAACCTTCTAGGTTTCTGCTATGTAACATTCAAACAAACTAATCCTAATGACTAATGAGTAATTTACTGATGTCCATAAACAAGTCCATCTTGTTCCAAGCTAGATTAATGTAAATCATGTAATTGTTATGAATTGAACTCGATTAACCTGGACTCAACTGCTACACACCCTCTTCATACCGGCAAATTATATCGTGCAACCGGCGCACCATGAGGATGGTGCGCCCGGTTGCAAAACGACGGAGTATTGTGCCTGATTTCTTTATTTTTTATTGCTTTTGTTGTTAAAAAATGGTAATAACTTTTTTATTTTTGATCCGATTTTTATAAAATTTATATTAACATCTTTTATTTTTCATGATCTTTCAAATGAGACCAATATTACTTATGTAATTTTAAGAAATTATCGAACTATTATATTAATGAGTATTATAAAGAAAATGGAACTAAATTTAATACAGAAAAATAATTGTGTAAATCACAATTTATCTTAAAATTGTGTATATAAAAAATTTATTGTATTATGTATTTATACATGTGAGTTACATATTTTTATACGTGAAGTTACATATTTTTACACGTAAAGTTACATATTTCTACACGTGAGTTACATATATATACACACGAGTTGCATTTGAACTGCCTGAACACGAGTTACATATATTTACACGTAAAGTTACATATTTTTACACGTAAAGTTACATGTTTATACACGCGAGTTACATATTTATACACACGAGTTGCATTTGACCTGTCTGAACGCGAGTTACATATTTTTACAGGTAGAGTTAAATATTTATACACACGAGTTGCATTTGGCCTGACTGAATGTGAGTTACATATTTTAACACGTAAAGTTACATATTTTTACACGCAAATGTTAATATGTTAAAATTACATAGGCAATATTGATCTCATTTGAAAGATCATGAAAAATAAAAAAAAATTGATATAAATTTTATAAAAAATCGGATCAAAAATGAAAAAAATTATTAACATTTTTAAGAAAAGGAAAAATAAAAAATTAAAATATTGAACATATTATTGTTCGTTAAATATTATTGTGTTCATTAAATGACTAATTATGTTTAGGTCACATTTTGCTTACCGGAGATTTTATTATTCGTGAATGCCAACAAGGCAACAACTGATTTTACTCTTTTTTGAAGGGCTATAGAGAGTAAGGATGTTTTTACTTGGACTGTAATTTGCTGGTCTGGTCTGGTCTGGTCTGATCTGGTTTCTTTGTATTTTTATAACTATCTAAGTCTGGTCTGATCTGGTCTGGTCTGATCTGGTCTGGTCTGGGAGGAATTAAAGTCCAAGTAAAAACATCCTAACCGGACAGTAGAAAAAGTTGGGTGGAGTGTTTAAAGCGACAAAAAAAGTCAATAACAGTGATGGTCCAGCACTGTCCCATGCATGATAATTGGTACACATTCCCTGGCCCATCAAGCGTGGTCCAGAGGTATGATTAGGATTTAGGAGGAGCCACATGACATCTCTCTCCTCTCTACGTTCTAAACCACCAAAACATATGGTGGGGTCCACTTTCGCTTTACTTTTTCTTTTTGCAAAAAGTTGGCTTTATTATTCCTACAAAAATAAGGACTTACACCCGAACCCTCTCTTTGGTTATATCAAAATCAGTTTATTCTGCCGAAATTTATAAAGTTGTAGCTGAAGTGATTGGGTTGATTAATTCTACTGATTTATGTAAAAATTATATTTAAAGTGTATATTATTAATGAAATAAAGAAAAAATTATATGAAAAATAACAAAAAATGCATATGGTCTCTGCAAGTATCGGGGATAGAGCTCCACTCTCTCTATCTGTTCAATTTATATCTTCTCAACGTATCATCCAGTCGGTGTTGGATATCCTCCAAACGTATCATCCGGTCGGTTTTGTCAGAGAATTATGATGAATAAAAAAAGGGCGTTAACGAGAACATCCTGACCCAACCCTAGACACTTTTTCAAATCTGATCCTTTAATCAAGAAATGGACACATATTCAACTTATGTGGTTAGATTAATGAGGGTTCCAATCCAAGAAATAAGTTATTTATAAAAATAAACAAAACAATCTTCTTAGGACTAGATTATTTATAAAAATAATCTCTTTAATTTTGTTTTTATTTTCAATGAAATTTAACAACCAATTAGCTATCTCGAGGCTCTAAGTTAAAGAAGAAATCGGTAGGCGTAGCTCAACTGGTAGCGAGGGAGTGGCACAAGGGTCAGGTCCCAGGTTCGAATCCCGGCAAATGCGATGAGAGATTACTATGTTAAAAAATGCATAAGGCCTCTGCAAATACCGGGGACAGAGCCCCATTCTCTATCTGTCAGATTGTGATTATAGTCCAATTTACATCCTTCCAGTGTATCGTCCGGTCGGTATTGGGTATCCTCCCAACGCATCACCCGGTCGGTTTTGTCAGAGAATTATGATGAAGAAAAAAAGGGCGTTAACGAGAACATCCTGACCCAACCCTAGACACTTTTTCAACCCAATCCTTTAATCAAGAAATAAGCACATATCATTCAACTTATGTAGTTAGATTAATGAGGGGTCCAATCCAAGAAATAAGTTATTTATAAAAATAAACAAAACAATCTTCTTAGGACTATATTATTTATAAAAATAATCTCTCTTTTATTTTGTTTTTATTTTCAATGAAATTTAACAGTCAATTAGCTATCTCGAGGCTCTAAGTTAAAGAAGAAACCGGTGGGCGTAGCTCAACTGATAGCGAGGGAGTGCCACAGGGGTTAGGTCTCAGATTCGAATCTCGACAACTGCGATGAGAGGTTACTATGCTAAAAAATGCATAGGGTCTCTTGCAAGTACCGGGGACACATTCTCACTCTCAATCTGTCAGATTGTGATTATAGTCCAATTTACATCCTCTCAACGTATCGTCCGGTCGGTGTTGGGTATCCTTCCAACATATCGTCCGGTCGATTTTGTCAGAGAATTATGATGAAGAAAAAAGGGCGTTAACGAGAACATCCTGACCCAACCCTAGACACTTTTTCAAACATGTTCCTTTAATCAAGAAATAGACACATATCATTCAACTTATGGAGTTAGATTAATGAGTGGTCCAATCCAAGAAATAAGTTATTTATAAAAATAAGCAAAACAATCTTCTTAGGACTAGATTATTTATAAAAATAATCTCTCTTTTATTTTGTTTTTATTTTCAATGATATTTAACAACCAATTAGTTATCTCGAGCCTCTAAGTTAAAGAAGAAACCGGTGGGCGTAGCTCAATTGGTAGCGAGGGAGTGCCACACGGATTAGGTCTCAGGTTCGAATCCTGTCAACTGCAATGAGTTTAATATACTAAAAAAAGCATAGAGCTTCTGCAAGTACGGGAGACAGAGGCCTGTTCTCTATCTTTCAGATTGGAATTATAGTTCTTTTTTGTTAAAGAAGAAAAAAGGAAATCTACCCTGCTCAACAGTAGAGCAGAGAAAAAGGAAAGAACCCGCACGGGTAGCTCAGTTGGTCGAGTGGTGGTAGATTTGGAACAATGGACCAAGGTTCGAATCCCCGCAGCGACCGGGTGGAGGTCACAGAACCTGAAATAAGGTTGAGTCTCTGGTGCGCACGAGTGTATGAGCCTACTGTCATTTTGCTGATTGAGTCACTGTGACTAAACTCCCCACCATCTTGTCGAGTCGAGGTGGGGGCTCATTGGGTGGGAGATTCCATCTTTTTTTGGAACAAAGAGAAAGAGGAAAGAAGAAAAGGTGTGAACCACACAGAGAAAAAAGAGGGAACGCCGCTGTCACTTATCACTCGACACTGACAGTCTGTGTGAAACCATTGAAAATCTCCCGTCCTCTCCTCAGAATTCTCGCACTGTATTGTCACAGTCATAACAGCATTATTACCCTAGAGAAAAGTGAAAACAGGGTAGATTCCCCTGTTCCTTAAATAGCCCTTTGCGGCGTTTTGTAGCATTTTTTGAAGGTGATATTTGATCGTGATGCTCAAGTGCTGCTTTGATTCCCCAGCGCTATCCAACGAGGTCAGTTCATATTTTCTTCGATTTCTCAAAATACATGTATCCGTCTTCTGTCTTCTGTATATTCTTTTCCTATTCTTTTCCTCCCAGTAACCGGAATGATTCATGTGATCGGACTGGGTAGGAATATATATTATTTTTTCAACCAGTTATACGACGGCCGCGGGCGCATTTTTGTGTGCGTATCTATTTATGTTAGGATTGAGCGGAAAAATTATGAGTTCATTTAAATATATAAAAGCTGAATAAGATGAGTGGTAGGAAACTTGGCAGTTATCTTATCACGATCGTTGTCAGTTACTATCATATAACCCATGCTCGCTGTGAACTGCAAATGGTGAAGTCGAAAAGTCATGTTATGCCGCAGAACATTATGAAATGTTGCTAGTGGTGTTGGAGAGTAGTATTGAGCATCATAAGATCCAGCTGAGTGATATGATATTGCAGGCTTTTAGTGTTTGGTTTGGCTGTCGAATTTGCATTTCTTATGAATTATGATCAGTCATGATCTTCTTTTGTTGAAGCCTCGAAGGGAATATTGAACATTTGAAAGCCCGATCTTTTGCATGCCATATGCACTGGGAAAAGTAAAGCTCTTTCCTCCACTGCAAATTGTGTTGTGTTTGGTATTGAAATGCTTCAATTTGAACTCAAATTTGCTGACTAGCTAAAATTTGATATTCGAAAGAATCATGGGTGCATCCGTGTTTTATGGTCTGAGAAACTTTAAGTTGACTAATGAAGTTATTAATTTTGTGGATCACTCTATAGTACACTTTTGGTTTTGATTCCTAAACAAAAGGCATACTTTTAGACGGTTGTACCTGGTTTTTTTGCTAGGTGATGAACTAAAAATCTTATAGTGTAGGGCCACTTCAAAGCCTTTCTTTTTATTTATTTTAAAAAACTACCAAGATGATATCTATCTGCTCTATTCTATCCATGTTGATCAAGGGTTTATCTTCAATTGCATTGAGTCCAGATCTTTGTTATTGTATTAGGCAGGCAGATGTTTTATTGATATGGAAGTTTGTGTCCGCAAGCATTATGTGCAAACAACTACATGTTAGAGTTCGTGAAACTTGTGAGTCTCAACTATGGCATCTTCTGGCTTAGGTAATGGAGGAGCAGGGAGTTCTAGAAGTGCTAATGGGTTTACAAATTCATCTACGTCAGTTGACTGGTTGGGAAGAGAAATGATTGAATTGAGGCTGAGGGACAGAGTGGACATTGATGATGATAAAGTAAGCTTCTCAATTGCTTACTTGCAAGTTTACAACTTTGCTACTATATGTTCGGGTCTACTGTCATTGGTTGTCTGCAGTACCCAAGTCACGATGAAATTTTCACTCTCTTGGGTTCAATCGTCTAGAAGGCTTTCCTGTATTGGCTCTTTGTTATGCAGGACAGCGAACCAGATATAATTGATGGCGTGGGTGCAGAAACAGGACACATCATTAGAACAACTATTGGTGGTAGGAATGGACAACCCAAGCAGGTCTGCCATATAACTAGAGATCAGTTTTTTACGTGGTCAATGTGATTATGTAATCTTGTGGGTGCTAATCTAAAACATTCTTCATTACATTTCTATTGGACTTGACAGGCGGTAAGCTACATAGCAGAACATGTGGTAGGAACGGGATCTTTTGGTGTGGTTTTCCAAGTAAGCGCTGGTATTTCTTGTATGTTTAAAAACTACGAAGTAATACTTTATGTACTATGGTTTACTCGTGCTGTTAGGCAAAATGCAGAGAGAGTGGAGAAATTGTGGCAATCAAGAAGGTTCTTCAAGATAAGCGCTATAAGAACAGAGAGTTGCAGATAATGCAAATGTTGGACCACCCTAATATTGTCGCTCTCAAGCATTCTTTCTTCTCAACAACAGATAAGGAAGAGCTATACCTCAACCTTGTCCTAGAGTATGTTCCTGAAACTGTTAACCGTATTGCTAGGCAGTACAACAGAATGAACCAGAGGGTACCATTAATATATGTCAAGCTCTATGCCTATCAGGTATGCCCATTAGCAGTGTTGCTGTATGTTGAGGCTGAAGTGCTTATGTACTACTATTGGGGAATAAGTGGCTGATTTGGTTTATATAGTTATTTTTCTCTTTTTACTTGCTGAGCACCTCAAACATGAATATTCACTCAATCCCGCAGTCCATTTATTTGAATTCATCCTCATAAACTTACTTGCAATCTTCTGTGTATCACTAACGTTGCATTACGTGTCTTGGTTTCTTGGTGCAGATATGCAGGGCACTGGCTTATATCCATAATTGTATTGGCCTATGTCATCGGGACATCAAGCCTCAAAACTTATTGGTGAGATTTTTCTTGCTAATAGGGGAGTTTCCCTCTATTGTAGATGGTATTATTCGATTCTCATATTTTAAATCTTCATCGTGCTTCATGGTTTCTGGATCAAAAGTACGTAGTATCTTTTTCTGAATTTCTCTCCAGTATTTATTCATTTATCTATTTTAATATTTGTATATTTACTTAATATTTTTTTATTCCAGCCCATCTGTAAAAATAAAGTAAATAAATGAATTTATATTCTACCTAAAGTTGTACATTATTGAAGGATTTTGACCTTTTCAGTTTATATTCTACCTAAAACTCTAAAAGTTCTACCTGAAACTGTTTTTCAACCACACCACTGTTAATAGGCAAACCCCTGTAAGCTATTTTAATCTCATTCCATTGCTCAAAAAACTTTTCCTAGAATGGGGAGTGTTATCTTATTTATTGCAGTGGCTCTTTATTTCACCTGGGTGGTACCTAATTGGCGCTTTTCCAATGACCTTACTGCGAAACAAATAAAATGAGTCATTTTAAAATATGAAGTGTGATGCTTTATAACATGCAGTTTAGCATCTATACAACCTTGCATGCTGTTCTCTCAAGTAACCATTGCAACTGCATTGTTTAATGATCTGAAGTAATCATTTTTTACCTGTAGGTGAACCCACATACGCATCAGCTGAAACTGTGCGATTTTGGAAGTGCAAAAGTTTTGGTACATATTTGGTGTTCTGTAAGCAGCCATCATTATCTTTTAAGAGAAGTTCTCTAAGCTATGCTTATTTGACAATACATTAGGTGAAAGGTGAACCCAATGTGTCATATATTTGTTCAAGATATTATCGTGCCCCTGAGCTTATATTCGGTGCCAATGAATACACTTCATCCATTGATATTTGGTCCACGGGCTGTGTGATGGCTGAGCTACTTCTTGGACAGGTATCCTATTGATGTTAAGATATGATGACGTGGAACTCCTAATTGTTTCACCACTTCAAATAATATTCATGTGCAGCCTTTGTTTCCTGGAGAGAGTGGGGTTGATCAGTTAGTGGAGATTATAAAGGTAGTTGCTCACTCACTCATAGATCCTTAACATATACGCCCCTAAAGGGCATTCTTTACTATGTATTTTAATGAATTTTATCCAGGTCTTAGGAACACCAACCAGGGAGGAGATCAAATGCATGAATCCAAACTATACTGAATTTAAGTTTCCACAGATAAAACCCCATCCATGGCACAAGGTAATACTTTCTATGATGTAGTGAACATGGCAGTCTTTTTCCTCTAGTATTTTGATGTAGTGAACTTGTGGTGACAGATAACAATTCTCTTCCATTACTCACCCTTGAGGTAGAAATTTTGAGTACAAAGGTCATTAAATGATGCGTCTAATTTGGGGGGATTCTATAGACTTATCTTTTGCATAGTGGCTGACCGTAGAAGTTGTAGAAACTATTACTTTATGGATAATCCTTTTCAGACCACACTAAGAGAGGTAATTAGAGAATTTATCTAGACGTGAATAATAAATAGAAAGAGGAGCTTATTTTCTTTACATAAATACATGATATTTCCTGTTCATTAAAGAATTGATCTAGACCTGAGTAATTATTTTGCTTGTCTGTATGTAATTCCTATATACATGCAAGAACATTACCCTTCACATGCTTTCTTTATTCATAAACATGGTATTTCCTGTCCATAAAATTTATCTTAATATATTATTTTATATATATATATATATATATATATATATATATATATATATATATATATATATATATATATATATATATATGTGCTTCAGGTTTTTCAAAAACGTTTGCCTCCAGAAGCAGTTGACTTGATTTCTCGTTTTTTCCAGTACTCCCCACATTTGAGATGCACTGCTGTAAGTGTGTTTACATGCTGATCTAATTCAGCAACTCTGATTCCGAAGCTTTTATAATTTCATTTTCTGGGCAATGCAGTTAGAAGCTTGTGTTCATCCTTTCTTTGATGAGTTGAGGGATCTGGACACTCGCCTGCCTAATGGGCGCCCCCTCCCCCCACTCTTTAATTTCAAACCTCAAGGTATGTGTTATTGATTTTTATTTGTTTGAATGTCTCTGATCAGAATTTTTAAGTTCTGATCTGATTTGATCTGATTTTTTCTGATCTAATTTCATCTGATCTGAATTTTTCTGATATGGTCTGATCTGATCTGAATCCTTCTGATCAGATCTGAATCGTTCTGATTTGATTTGAATATTTTTAAAATTATAATTATAATTTTAATCATAATTATAATTATAATTATAAATATATTTATAATCATAATTATAAATATAATTATAATCATAATAATAAAAGAAATTATAATTATAATCATGATTGTAAATAAAATTAAAATTATAATAGGTATAATTAGTTCTAAAATTATGATAGATAAAATTAAAATTATAATCCTGTTACACTAATTATAATTATAGCTATAATTATAATTTTAATTATATTTGTAATTAAAATTATTTCTATAATTATAATTATAATATTTATTTCTATAATTTTAATTTTAATAACTCCGTATAATAGTAATAACAACAATAATAACAATAATAATAATCATAATAATGATATAATAGTCATAATAGCAATCATAATAACAATGATGATGATGATGATGATGATGATAATAATAATAATAATAATAAATTAATAATAACAATGATAACAAAGATAGCAACGATAACAATGATAACAACAACAATAATAATAATAATAATAATAATAGTAATAAGAACAACAAGAACAAGAGCAAGAGCAACAACAACAGGAACAACAACAACAATAACAACAGTAACAGTAATAGTATTAGTAATAATAATAATAATTATTATTATTATAAAAGGGATAAATCGTGTCTGAACTTTTCTGATCTATCTGAATGTTTCTGATCTAGTCTGATCTGAATCTTTTTGATCTGATCTGGATGCTTCTGATCTGATCTGATCTGAATTTTTTTGATCTGATCTGAATAAAATAAGAATAAACAATAAGTAATAAGAATAAGACGAACAGAACAGCTTCTTACGCTTTAGCTTAGGTTTGTTGAAATAGTAATATTGTAGTTCTGGAAGCAATGCACTCCCTCTGTCCCTTACTCCCTTTACAATTGTCTCATTTTTCCATTTTTGGATGTCGCACTACTATTGTTACATACCATATTTGGTAACATTCGTGTGGCTCTTATTCATTTTTTACTTTACTCTCACTTTATCTACTCATTATCAACCACATAATTCTACTTTTCTTAAAACCGCATCACTCTCCTCCGTCCCAATGTTAGGGGGACGCAGGTAGTATAATTTAACACCATGTCTTACTCTGTGTGTATAGTTTATTGAAAAGGCATCTTAGAAGTATTTGGTGTTATCAGTGAACATGACTCACATTTTTTGCCCACTGGGAAAATGAACTCATGGGGACCTGAGGATATTATCGGACTGATGTGATTAAATCTATTAAAGCCCACTAATAAAATACATTAACCAACACTGGTTCCCATAAAAACCCCACCAAAAAGAAATTGAAACTATATAGTTTCCAGATCACTAATTAATGAGGGAAATATGCTTCCTAATTCTTCTTAATTGCGGAAGTGGTCTCCAAACGGGAATTCAAAGTTTCCGAGATTCTGGAACGCTTCTGGCAAGTACTCGGTGAGTACTCGGCGAGTATAGCAACTTGAGGGTGGCCTTGCCGATTAGCACTCTGACTTGCCCCGTTCTATTTTTGCACTCCCCGAGTACTCGGCGATTTTCTTAACTCGTTAACAAGTTCGGCTCGCCTAGTTACTCGACAACCAGTTTTTTTCTTGGGTTAAATCCGGAAAGTTTAATCTATAATGGGATACTATAGAATATATAAATAATGTGGGGGTATTTTAAAAAGTGAAAAATAACATTACAAAGTGTATGTTTAAAAGTATTTCACTTATCGGCTCATTCCAGACTTCCGATGAAGATAACTTTTGGACACAATTATTAGATTGATTTTCTTGGAAACTTAGAATGCTTTATGATTTTTGCTACTTCATATTTGGATTTTTTATTCATATTTAAAAACTAAAACACATATTTATTACTCTGTACTAGATTTTTGGGGCATCTATATTTTTAAATTTAATTAATACAGAGCCGAGTAAGCACGTGTACTCGGTCCTACTCGCTACTCGGCCCTTGACTGAGTTGCGACCGAGTAGCGATTTAACTACTTAGTGCTTTAGTCATATTTATATAATTTCTCTACATACAATTTGGCTGCATGAAGACTTTGTCAAATGATATATTATGTTCCCCGCTTGCAAAAATGGTTTAATTTAATGATCATGAACTGTTCCTTATTGTTTCATGTGAAATTCACGTGCATATGATATTTCTCTTGTTTCGCTGTAGAGCTCACTAGCATCCCTCCTGAAACTCTTCGTCGTCTAATTCCTGAACATGCTCGGAGGCAGAACTTCTTCATGGCCTTACGCTCTTAAGTTCAGCTTGGAATTTCTTTTCTGCTATGTGCTTAAGGTGTTGTCGAATCGAATTTGCTTGGAAGCTTTGAATTGGGCAGCTAATGAGTTGATCTATTATGTCCAATTCAGAAGTAGAGTTGTTGGTAGTGTGATCTATACGATTCACTGATCCTAAGTAGACCTAAGTAAAATAAAATGATGTATCTGTGTACCTGTATTTGTGTATCCGAGCACCTATATCCACGTACCAATATCAGTGCAACCTGTGTGATCATTTACCTTCCTTTGAGAGGCAGAGTATGGTTCATTTTGGAGAACAATGCCGAGAGCCAAGAGAAGCTGATTTGTTTGTAGTATGTCTCTATGACATTATTATAGTTGCATGTATTTGTTTTCCCCTCTGATATTACCACTTTCCACTTTGCTGGTATGGAGTTAAGTTATATAGTAGTTGGATATATCTTCCAACATTGTGTAGAGGGAGAATGGCTGTTTGCACAGTAAAAGTAAATATTGTTAAAAGAAACTATGCAAGAAAGTGAAACAACTGATATTTAATACATGTAATATTTTGGTATGAAATTTTGCAACGGGATGTAAATCACTCACGGGGTGGTGAACTGGTAATGTTGTGATACACATGATAATATTGTGTCACCACATAATATTGTCCACTTAATATATATGTCATGTTTCTAAATTGTGTGCACCACCATCTAGTATCTAGTACCGAGCACAAAGCAGTCATTGACTCATCGAGTGCATTAGTAAATATATTCAGTTTATAAATAAGTAAATATGTCATTATACTGAAATCTCAGGGGGCATTTTGGTCTATTAAAATCTAATCCAAAGAGCTAGTAAGCCCCCTTGAGAGTTGAGTATAAAAAATTCTAATTTTCCAACCAAGTTCACTTCAAGGTTTGCTCTACTAAAGCGGTATAAGTGAGCCAACTCGCTCTACCGAAAGCTATTTAAATATGAGGCTTAATGCGCAAATTATACCGTGGGATCGGTGCACCATCCTCATGGTGTACCGATCCCAAAACGACATAGTTTTGCTTCATATTAATTAAAAAGGAAGTACTTCGTATATGTGTTGCCGGTTTAATTCTCTGTAAGATTATAAAGAGGCACTGTGCGTTTCTTCTTGAGATAGAGCATCGGACGTTGGTCATAAATTATCACCGGCGAGGAAGTGGCGGCGGTGCAACAGCTCATCCTCAAGGCGGCGGCGGCGTGGCGCTCAGCCTTGATGGTGGCTTTGATCGATGCTGACGAGCAGATCCCACCAGAATATTTGGTACAGACCGATCAATCTCATCTTCCTTCATGTCTAGGCAGTCCAACGGCTTGTTCACAGTGAAGCCGTGCTCTGCTATTTGGGCGACGGTGTAGTATATACGTATATACACCAGAAATTGCTTTGTTAGTATGGTTTCAAGAAGTTTCTGATTTTTTTAACCCATCACTATCAGATGATACAGAATTGGTAATTAACAGGTGACTAATTTTGGTGTATGTGATTTACATTTGAGTTACACCTTTTCATGTGCGAGTTACACCTTCTGTAGCACAAGTTACATTTGTCATCAACGCGAGTTACATTTGTAATAAGATGAGTTACAGCAGAAAATAACATCTGCTATTGAAACAATAAAAATGATCTTTTTAAATAGTAGATGTTTATTTTGTGATATGTCTCGTATTATGAAAATTGTAACTCGCGTTGATAGAAAATCTAACTTATGTGTATGGAAAATGTAACTTATTGAGGCAAATCTAAATGTATCTCGTGCGTATATAGTTGTAACTCACTTATAAAAATATGTAACTCACGTACAAGAAGATGCAACTTCATATATTATCAAATGTAACTCCTGAAATTGTCAATAAATATAACTCACACATGTAGAAACATATATTCCACTATAAAATGTAATCTCATATTTTATCAAATGTAAATCAAAATAACCAAATTTAATGTCTAGAAAATACTAAAAATATATAAGAGAGATAATAAATACTACATATATTATAGGAAAAAGGTAAATATGAAAAAACAAACAAACAAGTGTATAAATATAAAAAAATACTCGTATTTATTATGAAGAAAAAGTAATTATTTTTACTTGTAGTTTTAGTTGAATAAAAAAACAAAAGAAAAAATGTATCAATAAGGACCGAGAGAGAAGAAAAGTAATTATTTATTTGAAAGGCTAAAAAATTGATCATAAAATTGTAACAAAACATTCCAGTGTTCTTGAATTAAAAAAAGTTAGTTCCATACATGATAGCTTTTAATGATGAAAAAGTTAAAAGTAAAAAACAAAACATAAAAAAGAAACGTGAGTGGGATTCTCAAGCGTGAGAAACGCATTTTTTTAAAACAAGATTAAACCAACGTCGTTTTGGACCAGAAGCATAATGCTCACCGTAGGATGATCCCACGGTATAGAGACTCAGCTTAATGCATTGAAGCTTCCAAGTAGGGAAGCCGGCCAGCGGCCCCCATCCCGTGCGGCCGCATCCAAGGATCAAAGGAATTCAACCGTAAAGCAACATAACACACGAAACTAGTCGAGGAATATTGAGCGGCACGTCCAATCGGCATAATTCTCGACTTCTCGTTCGTGTACTGGACATAGTCTTTCACTTGACCAACACTTCTTTGGTGCAAAAACTATAAATTGGGAAGGAAGAACATTCAATGTGCGTGTATTTGGCTTGATATCTTCTGGTTTGACACATGACTGGATGAGGAAGGCCAACTGACATCCAACTTCTTCCTACTATCATTTATCAAAAGCATCTACTCTCTACTCTCATAAGTCTCATTGTAGCAAGTATATTGGTAAGGGAAAAATTAGCTTAAGTGCGAGTATATGTTAATTATCTCAAGCCTAATGCATATAATTTCTTTATTCTACGTTTAAGCATTTTATTAGTTCTAATTCACGAAAGTACGAAACACTCAACAAGACTTTGTATTGGACTTTTGGACACAAATTGACCTCAACATAAGGAAATGATAAAATAAATTTTAAAAGTGCAATTTTATTTGAGACTTCATTTTAGGATATTCTATTTTCATGATTTAGATTTAGGATGGATCACATGCTCATTCCAAACAACAACATATAAGTTTGAGACAAATGAATAAATGATTTGGGGAGTGTTTGTCATCACCACTTTTCAACATTTTCTTTCAAAAAAGTTAAAAAATGTGTTTTTAAATGGATGTTTTTACTTAAAGTTCTACACTTTAAAACCGAAAGCTAAAACACAAAGAAAGAGATATATACTGAGACCATTTGTAGGGTACGGAAGTCTATTAAATATGGACTCCAGCCATGTGAAAACAGTGTTCGGACTCCATCAAAACATTTTTTCCCCACGTTCCAGCACCATCAATAAAATACATCTAACATATTTTTGTACATATCAATAGTAAAACATTAATTAATTATTAAGTATTTTTTTCCTTTTAAATTTTTCCAGAATAATTATGAAACAAAAAATACACATTCCTATGTAAGAAATATAAATTTCATTAATTTGTTTAACGTTTTTCTGTTAACAGAAAATGAACTTAGTTTAAGTAAAGTTCAATTATTATCATATTCTCTTCTAAACATTCAATTAAATCATGTGTGAACATTTATGAGCATTCTCATTAAACTCGTATTCCATTTGAGCATTCTCGTTTTTTTTACGTTTTTCAGCTTTCATAAAAAATAAATTCAGTTATTCATGAAGATTCCATTAATTAAAAATTTGTGTTTCATGTTTTTTAGGTTCAAGAAAACTCCAACTGTTGAAACTTGGGATTTGTCTTCACTTTATATAAAAGTATGTAATATTGGTGTCACATTATAGATCATAAAAATTTATAAAAATTTGTGAATTGTCATATATTTTTTGAAAATTTTGAAATACAAATAAAAAAGTTATTAGACTAATAAAAATTGGGGTTTTAATGCAAAAATGATGTCACTATCACATAATCACTTACGTTTGCCGCTCCACCCGTCTTCCCTTCTTCCACAACTTTCTCGTTTTCTTTTCTTTTTAGATTTTTCTCAGTGTCAATCCTCTTGTTTTCTAACACCCTCCATCACTTTTCCTACTTTTAATCCCCCATTTAACCTAACACTACACTAAATTAGGTGTTTTAAATCTCTAATTTTAAAATTTTGAACTCCTGATCCTCTATTCTGTCAACAAAAAAAATCCTAATTCTCTATTACTAGGTCTAACTACTTTACACTTTTTTTGTTATAAAAAATACTTCTCCATCAAATAGTCTAACTTCTATTTTTTCAAAATTACTTTTATTTTTTGACACTGTCAACTAAATCACAATTCTAGTAAAGGTAAACCTACCCATTGTGAATGCTATTTCAAGACTGAATATTTGTCCACCCTAATTTTGAGTCGTATATGCCCATACTAATCCCATATCTCAAGATTCTCAGCTACTTGATCTGGCATCCTAACTACTCGACCTCTCAGTCGCTGATTTAGTCTCCCTAGATCTGAGCTGAATAACAATATCAATTTCAGTTCTGACTTCCAAAGAAGGTTGAAGTTTGATTATAGGAGTTCACAACGGTTCGCGGCTTCATGTGAGCTGGGCTTATAGGGTATTATTGCTTACTTTGTGTTCAATCAACTATACATCTGACCTGGATTTCGACTACGCAGTGAAACTTTAGGAGGGTAGTTGGAAACATAGAATTGAGGTTCCTTCATTGGCACGAAATTGCCAATTTCACACGCTGGTGCTTCTACAAGTTATTGGATTGTGAAGGGCTCTTATGTGCGTTGTACTTTGAAGCTCAAAGGAAACATCTTTCCTACTTATTGAGTCGGAAAGTTTTACAGAATTTGCAAGCATTGCATAGCTTCATGTTAAAAGCTTGATTTTGTTAAAATGTTTATTGATATTCTTGAGCAATTGGAGATTGATTAGCTGAAAAAATGGCACTAAAGCTTCCAGCTGCTGAAGCAGCCAAGACTGCTATTAAGTCGATAGGATGTGGCTATGATATATCCTTAGACTTGAGGCTTAAATACTGTAAAGGCGGTCCATTCAATAAGCGTCTGATTGACATCAACGAGGACAAATGCCAAGAAATTGTTCTTCCGGGTGGGATTTTAATCCCGAACGTGCCCAAGTCTATTAAATGTGATAAAGGAGAACGCACAAGGTTCCGATCTGATGTTCTGTCTTTCCAACAGGTACTGTTGCATTGTGTTCATGTTAATTTTTGGGCTAACCAATTTTTAGTAATTTTCGCATGTGAGTTTCTACATTATGTGCAGTGTTCTTTAAGCTAGCTTCATGTAGTTTCATAGGCTCACTGCTCATCAGTTTTTTTATGTTAAACCTAATTACTGCATACCATTCTTATGCTTAATTTATTATTTGTCCTGTCCAGATGTCAGAGCACTTCAATCAGGAAATATCTTTGACTGGTAAAATTCCCACAGGGCTCTTCAATGCAATGTTTGATTTTTCTGGCTGCTGGCAGAAGGATGCTGCTTGCACAAAAAATCTTGTTTTTGATGGTGTTTTCATCACATTGTACTCTATTGCGCTTGAAAAATCTCATATGGTGTTAAGTGATCATGTGAAGAAAGAAGTCCCATCAACATGGGATCCTGCAGCATTAGCAAGGTGAAACTTGAGGTTGCCAACAATTTTATTTTTTACTGCTGCATAAATTCTTTTGTAATGTAGTTTGTATAAGAAGGGTAAAACTTGAAAAAGAAAATCATTAATGTGCGTAAATTCCATAAAATGACATATTCAAAGTAAACAATCAATTTTGCTCAACAGAGTTGAAGAATGAAGACTAATAAATAAGAACACAGAGAGTATATAACATTGACTTTTTTGTATCATTCCCTACACAATAGTTTAATATTGAAGTTGCTATAGGACTTCATATTGTAGAGTTGTTTTCATATTCCAGGTTCATTGAGAAATTTGGTACTCACATTGTTGTTGGTGTAAAGATGGGGGGAAAAGATGTTATATATTCAAAACAACAACGCTCCTCATCACTTGAACCTGCTGATGTCCAGAAAAAGTTAAAGGAAATAGCAGATAAGAGGTTTTCAGATACTAACGAACAATATAGATCAGATTCGGAACAGGTTTCTCAGAATGACAAGGTTTAGTACCTTAGCGCATTATCACCACAAGTTTTCCTACTTTTTCAGTACTGAAATACGCAAATATTCTTACTTTGTCATGTTCTCTTAGCTTTTCCCTACATTTTTACTTTTTCTGCACTATTATCCGCCCCTACAACTTTACTCTTAATTTCTGTGAAAACCTTACTGGAGAGAGTAATAGTGAAACCTCATTAAGTGAGTAATAGCGAATGGAAGGAGTACATTATCTGGCTAAAATGTTTATTTATATCTCATAAAAATGTATCTTCCGGGCCATTGTTTGAAATTGCGCAATGCAATTATGCCTCAAGGCGCGCCTTGGTGATTATTCCTCCAAATACGATAGTAGGTGTCTGAGTGTCTCCCAAATTGCGCCATTTGATGCTTACGCTTTTCAGGCACGACACACACACAATAAGGTGTATGTTGATGGTAATTTAGTCTGCAAAACCCCCCATTTCAACTAATATTATCATGCCCTACCATCTTTCTGTTTCATTTTCTGAAAGCCTGACTAGGATCAAATGGTGATTTAAGTAAATCTCAAGGGAAGTATGCAATAAACCCTTACTTTTTGTTGAAATATCTATTTGTGTATCTAAAGTAAAAACATTTTGCTTTAGTTTGAAGCTAGGGAGACGCGTCTGAGATTTGCAGAAGCTAGTGCATCAAGTTCTTACGTGTACAAGGAGGTATGTCACTAATGCAAGCTATCTTATCTCTGGTATACATGCCTTTTCTATAAACAAATTGTCAATTAGTGTTCTTAAATTGCAGGACATTGTTAGCATTTGCAAAAGAAGAGGTGGGAGTGATTACAGAAACCTAACCCATAATGAGTGGTTAAATACTGTCCAGTTAGAGCCAGATGCAATCTCTATGTCCTTCATCCCCATAACATCACTTCTGAATGGCATACCTGGAAGTGGATTTTTGAGTCATGCTATCAATTTGTACTTGCGCTGTGAGTTGGGTCATTTTATATTAATTCTAAAAAATCTAAAGAAAATTTAAATTTTCACCTTTAAATCCTTTATATAGAAATATATAGATACCAATTTTTGTTGGCACTTGGTTTGGCTTTCAGATAAACCACCCATTGAAGAGCTTCACCAATTTTTGGAATTTCAGCTTCCAAGGCAATGGGCACCGGTGTTCAATGATCTCCCTCTCGGTCCACAGAGAAGGAAGCAAAGTTCAGCTTCGTTACAGTTTAGTTTTCTTGGTCCAAAGCTGTATGTAAACACTGTTCCGGTAAAGCTCAATGATACTTCTTCCATCAGTATATCATGTTTCCACTTTATTATTAACCTGGGAGCCTTTGCGGCACTGGGGTAATGTTGTTGTTGTATTATTAACCTGGGAGCCTTTGTGGCTTGGGGTAATGTTGTTGTTGTATTATTAACCTGGGAGCTTTATGCTCAGGTTAATGTAAACTGGAAATTATTTTTTTCTCCCTTAGTTGGCATCCATAAGTTGGGCATTAATTGCGATCCTATTTCACATCCTGGTAATCATTTTGAGTGAATAAGTTCAGACGCAATGGTCGAACCTGACATTATGAGCCCATATTGTAGGCCTTAGTTTTGGTTCATCAGCCATTTTCACTGAACACTTATTGGCACTGCCTCGGCTGAATCAACCGACAATAAGAAAAGCTAGTGCATATGTTACTTTGCTTTTTGGCTAGACTGGTTTAAATTAGTATTTTTAGCCTTACCTGTAGATTTATTTTCTTTAATTTATTTAAATACACTTCCCATCCCTAGGGTATTCCCCACTTTGAGCAGGTGCGAGGTCTTACAAAAATGAAAATTGTTTGGCTAAGATTTATTATTTCGAAGAAAGAGAAATAATATGAACTGTATATGGTTTCCCTAAAAGGATAAAAGGAAATAGGTGACAATATAGTCATATAGGGACATGCGGAAGAATAAAGTTGGAAGATAATCTAGGGAACATACGTTGAATATATTTTAAATATTGTTTAATAGATTGTTCAGTAGATTCAACCAAAACTATAGTATTGTCAGGAGATTCAACCATAGCATTTCTTATTTGTGGACCCCTCAGGCTAGGATCTAAATTTATGTACATTTCACTAATGACAGGTCGATGTTGGCAAGAGGCCTGTGACCGGCCTTCGGTTGTACCTTGAAGGCAAAAAGAGCAATTGTTTGGCCATCCACTTGCAGCACCTCTCGTCTCTTCCTAATATATTCCAACTTCAAGATGATCCACATGGAAACTTCTGCCGAGAAGCCCACGACCGCAAGTACTATGAGAAAGTTCAGTGGAAGAACTTCTCCCATGTCTGCACGGCACCCGTTGATTCTGATGAGGATCTTTCCATAGTCACTGGAGCAAAACTCGAAGTCGGTGGCTACGGGATGAAAAAGGTCCTTTTCTTAAGACTCAAATTCTCATCCGTCGTGGGGGCCACTATGGTGAGGCAATCAGAGTGGGACGGTTCGTCACTGGGATTAGGTCGCAAATCTGGGTTGATGTCAACTTTAATCAGTCACCATTTCTCAATAGTTCAGAAGCTACCACCTCCACAGCCTGTTGATTTGAATGTTAATTCTGCTGTTTATCCAGGTGGTCCCCCGGTGCCTATTCAAGCGCCTAAGCTGTTGAAGTTTGTTGATACGACTGAGATGAGTAGAGGGCCCCTAGAAACACCTGGTTATTGGGTTGTTTCTGGGGCAAGACTCATGGTTGAAAAGGGGAGAATCTCTCTGAAGGTCAAGTTTTCTTTACTTACTGTTATACACCCTGATGAAGGAACGCCTGAGTAAACAGATAGGAGATAAGGAAACCTTCCTCCGTTAGTGTGTGATCGAGATGATGGTTTTGCCATCCCATTTTAGTTTTTTGTTTTTTATTTTCAGTGTACGCATAACAATATGTTTAATCTATGCATATGACTAGGCAAAATAGAAATCTGAAGTCTGACTATTGTTGACTTCTTTTTTTCTATTCTAATACAATGTGAGGCTTTTCTATTTTTCTTTCCCAGTTTGTTTGTCTCTTCTTGACAGGCAGACTAGGATAAAGATATAAATGATGGAGCAAATTGAAGTCTTACTTCAGATACCATTACTTGTACCTTACTAGCATTTTGTTTATGAAATATTATGTACATGGGAAGGCCAACAAACTCCTTCCCTTTGACAAGGACGCGGTGCAGGTTGGGCAATGAAGGTCGGATATTGATGTCCAGGCATTAAGACCGTGAAGTCCGGTGAAGAAAATCTTGGTATCTGTACAATAACAAGATCACAATCTATAAATGCTTTTGGGTTTCCCGTCAGCCAAACGAAACTCTTCATTATATAATCTTGAGGCTTAAAGGTGGACTACTTACTGTTTGTGGTGATCTTCCAAGCTTGTGCATTGTTGTTCCAGATTCCAAGCTGTGGTGGTGCATATGACCTTCAGCCCCTCCTGGCTTGAAGAGATGCTCAAAAATGGCCATGATGAGAAACATGGAGATCAAGATGGCTGTAGCTACAAGCCCGAAACAAATGGCATTCGCTGACGTCCCAAAGTTTCTCCATGCACCACCACCTTCCACCTGGTTGATCACCTGGGATGGACTAGGCTGCTCTGCACTTGTTTTATATATGTTCCATGCTTCCCTTGTTCTTTCATACCTCAGCTCACTCATGTCTGCTATGCTTTCTTTTCACAAAAAGGATGAGATGTATCCCCCCACCCCCTCTATGCTCATATGGATAAAACAAAATTGAGAGCTTAAATGGCATGTGGGGGACATGGGATAAATAAAAATTGTTGCGACAAAGAGAACCCAAACCCTCTATTTATTTTCCCACGTTTCCTTATTTTCTTCCATTACTGTTGTTTTAGCGGATTTCCATTACTGTTGTTTTAGCGGAAATAAATACTCTTATATGAAATGAAAGTGATGTATTTAGTGATGTAGTTTATTGTTACTTCTTAATGGCCTAATGGGCAACCTTATAGAAGAGTAGTCTAATATTTTATATGTTAGTTTATTGTTTGGTATTTAGTGATGTATGAAAAATGCAATACTTCTTCTATCCCATTTTATTTGTCTTATTTTCTTTTTTGGGTTGTTTCAAAATAAATGTTCTATTTCTTTCCAAGCTGTAAAATTGGATAGAGGTAATATTAATTAATGTTTTTCTTTATTTTGGGATGTACTATGACGGTCCAACTCGAAAACATTGTTTGGACCTTATTTTTTTCTTAGATGCACTTTCACAAGAGCTCGCGTCGTGATCTTGGATAGGACAGGCCTTGATAGCATATTAAGGAGGCGTTTACTTCGTTGCTAAAGTCACAGTTAGGTTAGTAAGACAGGTGAAGTAAACACGCAAGTTGCTTAAAACGTTGCTTATTAATCGAAAGAGGTGTTTAAAGTGCCGCTTACTAAGCATACCACCCCATGTATTAATTAAGAGGCACTTTAAGCTTTTTCAGTTTTCGAATTTACCCTTACATTTACCCCTTGCCCTTATCCTATTGCTACCCCACTACCCCGCCCTACCCTACTCGACCCCAACCCTCACCCCTCCCTACCCTTTGACCCAACCATACCCCACCCCACCTTACCCCTACCCCGACCCTACCCTCCACCACCTGCCCTACCCCACCCTCACCCCCACCTTACCTCCACCCTACCCTACCACCTGCCCCTACCTCGACCCCACCCCCACCCTTGACCCGACCATACCCCACCCCCACCCTTGACCCGACCATACCCCACCCCTCCACTAGTACTCCTTACCTTTATCCTACATCGACCCTACCCTTTTAACGCTCACCACCTGCCCCTACTTCGACCCCACCCCAATCCCGACCCCTCCTCCGCCACCTTACCCAACCCCTACCCTACCATCCCAGCCCCCTTACCCCTACCTCGACCCTACCCTCCACCACCTGCCCTACCCATCCCCACCCTCACCCCTACCCATGTACCCCCTACCACCTTCCCCTACCTTGACCCGATCCCACCCCTACCCCTACCCCCACCCCATTTCCGGTCGGGGTCGGGTCAAGGTAGGGGAAGGTGGTAGGGGGTAAAGGGGTAGGGTAAGGGGTGGGTGGGGGTGGGGTACAGGGCGGAGTAGGGGTTAGGGGGTGGGTAAGCGACTAAGCATACGAGGTGACCCCACATATTATATTATATACTTGTGTTCATGAATGTTTGTGTGTGTATATATCTATATGGTTATTTTGGACATTTTAATGTTAAATGGTGTTTTAAATCCTTTGAAGTAAACATGAGCTTACAACACTTCTTATTTTATGCGTCGCTTATTAACATGAGTCTTAATAAGCACCGTTTACTAACTCGTGAAGTAAATGTGTCCTAAGAGTTTGAGTTTCATCGTAAAAGATTAATTTGATAAGAGAATTTTGATATTTTATGTAGTGGCATTGGTTTATTGTTTCTTATTTAATTGACATGAGAGAAATATTTCAAACATGTGGGTCCATCATCTCATTTTTTTCGCAGAACCTAAGAAATTGAAGGAGTTGGGGGGAGGGGTTAAACTCTATGTGTCATATCTTGAATGGTCCTTGCATTGCTCTACTAAGTTATGGAACAGCATCATTACAGTGGTGTGTGTCCATCATGAAAAAATGGTAAATTCCCCATTTTAATGATGAGAATTTAGAAACTATTCTTTGCAAGGAAGTCACAACAAATCAACATCAGCAAATATATGGGTGGGGTGAGGGTGGGGATTAATCTTTGAAATGAAGAGATCTCTGCACATGGACAATTGCACATGTTCTATTTCACTCACTTTTTCATCTCTTCATGGGCATTTTCTATTTTACTTATTTCTCAGAACAAACACTGATGCAGAAAGACTGATGCAGAAAGAAGGATGTGATATTGTGAACCAGATAAACAATGGGTTTAAGTTATTACCTTCAAAGGAGAATGATCACAATAAGAAAGCAGCAAAGGTGTCAATCTCAGTCAGACATGTAAAGAACCAAAGAAAGCAGCTAGCAATGGTACTTCTGTGCTGCAGCAGAATACTAAAATCCCAGATTTGCTGTTTATCTTACTCAAGCCAAATGCTTTTCCTGCCAATGAAGAAACAGACAGAAAAATTGCACTAAAGCTAGTTGTACCCTATCATAAATAGCACAAAATGTGTAAGACAAAAGTGGAATTACTATGTACATAATAACCTCAGTAGTAGTACAGTTTATACTTTTTGTTTTGGCCACCTCATTCATGATTTATGATACTTAACTTAATGAATACTATACCTCTGTTATCTATGAATAGACATAAATTGGTGAAAGAAAGCTTCAAGAACAAAAGTTATTGGCCCCTCTTTGTCTGGGCAGCTCAAAACAAAAGCATTCACTTTTCTTTTCTTTTTTAACTTCCAAGATGTCATAATGGGTGGCAAACTGCTTATACCCAAATTAAAAGAAAATCTGAGTTTATATTTTCTTTAACATATTTACATTTCATTGATATGTAATATGTTACAAAAATGCATAAAAAGGCTAAAGTGGTCATCTGCTAAATTATGATTTGATAAAAATTATGACACACAAAGCTAAAATAAGCCAAAAATCTACTGCGTAGCAACTAAAGTCCTCTCCTTCAACAAAATAATATGTAATGCATGGGCCACTGATCCATTTGTCTTGAGGTAAATACATATAAGCTGACATAGGCAAATAATGTGATTCACTTTCTCTAGACATTTAAATTATAAATCTAAGCAAAGTGGGGTGGGGTGAACCATCCACCTTTATTCTGTTACTGATTCAAGGTGTATGCTTATGCATGCTAATCTTGATTAATGTTTTTAAATCCTAATACAAAGATGATCCTCAAGTGTACATTGCAATTATGATATTGCTATGATGTGACTCTAGTCTCACCGTGCACATTATTATTACTATAATAATAATGAAAATTATATAACAATAGTAATAATATTAATAACGACAATTATTATTCTAAAAGGAGTGAAACAAAAAAAAAGTGTTGAAACCAAATCTCAACGCTTTGGAGTCTGGGCCTGCAAATACGATTTAGACTTTTTAATAACTTACTACTACCTTTATCTCATACTTTGGTTTGACACAATCAATATATATTTACACAATCATATATATACTTTGGAGTATATATATAAAAGAGAAACTTTTTAAGAGCATACAAAACGCCACATAATCATGCCATGTCATCCATCATATATAACAATTATTTAGTTATTTTTATACTCCGTACCTTTTATTTTTATTGGATTCTATTTTTGATTGCATATTGATATGGAAACAAATGACTCTAGATTCCGTCACTTAAATAGATCGATTCCTAATCTAAATTAGGAAATCTTTATATGTTTACAAATTCCTAATTTTGTTTGCTCTTAAGATGTTTTTAATTGGATTGATTTCAGTCTCAGACTAAATCAGATCTATTCATACTTTAATAATAATTGGACAGATAAAATGTAAAACAGAAATCTACCAGATCATATTACTTTAGACCAAATCAAAACTGAAAATTTTAATTCAATTAAAAACGTCCTTATTAATGACGTTTTCAATATGATGAAATAATAAGTAAAATGTAAAATCTTACTATTAAAAGTATGTACTACATATTTCATACCAAGTTGAATGAGGAATATTAAAAAATATATTTTGAGGCGCATAATAAAGTAATTTAGAGGACATGAAAATAATTAAGAAGCTTCTCTATGAATTCTTTAAAATCGGGTTCATAACAATTATGTTTAGTAGAGAAGCTTATGTAGAAGACCATTTATACTATTTTTCATATAATTTTTATTTATTTAACAAATGGAATTTTTTTTTTCATGATTCAAGATATTCACCTATTCAACCTATTCAGCTAGAATTTAATTAATTTCAGCAAAATAAACCGATTCCACCAATATTAGTATTATCAAACGAACTCTATATTTAGGCTGAGTTTATTTTGCTTTTGCGTCACATTATAATTAGATAAATTACATATCGCCTGTGCATCGCACAGGCTTGAAACCTAGTTATTAATAAAGTAGTTGAAAAGGTAAAAATTATGATTAAGATTTGAGTATAATAAAGTGAAATGTTGTAGCCAGGGCCGTCCAATGAATTTGGAGGCCCCGGTTCGAAATGACAAATGGAAGCCCCCTAAAACAATAAAAAATAACAACTTTAACAATGAAATACAAGAACACTAGATAGTTCAATGAAATATAAGTTTTATAACGTTTAAAGTACACAAATTGAACAATCTTAAAGTAATATTACATCACTAATGAAGTTTCACATGAATAGTGATGCCCTCCTAGCAGTTCTCGAAGCAAAATCATCAATCAAATCTTTATACTCTATCTTCTCAAGAACTTCATTATCGATTGATAATTTGATATCATTGCCAAGCCATTGAGCCTTTGTTGTGACATTTTTGACCGCAAGTTAGACTTTAATAACTTGAGCTTCGAAAAACTTCTTTCTGCACTACCACAGTCAGATGAATAGTCAACATTATTCTATAAGCAATAATTGCATTACGGAAACAACTAAAACTACGCATCAACAACTTCGGAATATCAACAGATCTCAGTTTCTCTTTTGACAAGAATCCCCGAAAGAACTTCAGCTCGGTAAATAAATCATTTCCATCCACAATGTGCATCTTTTTTAAGAGCACCTTCAAGATTAGTACAACATGACATTAAATGTGCATCATCTAATGAATTCAACTTCTTAGAAGTAAACATAAAACAAATAACCTTCTCAAATTCCTGATATTGCTCAAACCTTCTTTTCAATGAAACAATAGCCTGATCAACAATGTATAAGAAATAATTAACTCTAAATGATTCATCGGCATACATACTCACAACTTCTGATGTGTCATCTCGATTCTCATCAAATTGTTTTTTTTCTTCGAATTATTCTCCTTTGAGGAAATGTTGGCTCAATATCAAGTTCAAGAGCAATCTTCTTCGCTTCTTCTATAGCATTTATATATCCACTTTCTTGAAAATGCTCAAAAAAAAATAATCAAAGCCTTTATTTCATGAATAGCAACATCTATAAGCATGGCCTTTGATTGCAAACTCTTACTCACCAAATTCACATGATATAACATGTCATACCAAATAATTATTACCACTAAAAACTCAAAATTGCCAAGCTCATTCATTGCTAGTGATTTCGCTTCACTACTAAAATTGCCAAGCTCATTCATTGTAAATCTTATAGCATTCACATTATAAATGTGACTCTCCAAACGGGTAGCAGATAATGATTTAAGGGTTAACCCCTTGGCGTTATCTTTCAAAATCTGCAACCTTTTGGTTGAATTCGGAAATATTGTGTAAATGTGTTGAATAATTCAAAAAAAAAATCTCTATCCTTACCACAAGTATTAGCCATATCACACAACATTAAATTAAGACTATGACAACCACACGATGAGTAAAAAGCTCGAGGATTTATGTCTGGTAATTTCTTTTGAACTCCTTGGTGTTTTCCTTTCATGTTTGATCCATTATCATACTCTTGTCATCTTACATCATCTATATAAAGATCCAAATTCTTTAGTTCATCTTGCAAAACATCAAAAAATCCTTGACCAGTCCTTGACCAATCCTTTCCTCGAGTCACACCACTCTCACCACATTTTCTCTTGGAAGGGGCATAGCGAGCAGAAAGAGTTGGTAAAAACATTTTTAGTTAAATTTAACAACTACAATATGTCTTATTGAGAGCCTCTTTAATAAACCTTTTTTGGTTCCTCAGTTGTTTATTATCCATCACTACACTTTTGACAATAGGTCCAATTTTTTCCCTGGTTGAATTGGGTACATAAGACTATTTTTAGTTTTTTTCATAAAATATTTTCTTTATTTCATTAACAACAAATTAATATATGAATATAATTTTTTATACTTCAATCGTTTTAGCATAATTTCAATAATTTTAATATGTCTAATTGATTCATCCAATTTTTGGATATACAAATATACAGTCTTATTAACAAGATTACATCTAGCTTACATCTGGCTCATCTCTTTTTTGAAAGCAATGAGATTAAACCGCTCTATTTTCTTTTATTTAGAAACATAAACATTAAAGAAAGGTATTCTGTGATTTTGTTAATAACCATTTCATAAAACACGTCGGCAGGTGTATGTGTTGGGGTCACCTCAAGAAAAGCGCTAAATAATTTTAGTGGTAGACATTTTCCTATTTAAAGAGTAGTGTGGTGCCCATTGACAAGAAAGAAACAGTAATTTAAAGGTGATTTTGAAAGTTTATTTTATTGGATTTAATCGTAATTTATTATTGCACCTAATCATAATCCACTTTTCCCAACAAACCTTTACAATGAATATATATGTAATTATAAAAAAATGAATATATATATATATATATATGTATGTATGTATGTATGTATGTATGTATGTATGTATGTATGTATGTATGTATGTATGTATGTATGTAATGTATGTATGTATGTATGAGGATGCTTTTATTTGTTTGAAATTTTCTGATCAGGTCTGGTCTGATTTGGTGTGATGTGCTCTGATCTGAATCGATCTGGTCTAGTAAATGTATGGTCTTTGTGTATTTTATAATTGTCCAAGTCTGATCTGGTCTAATCTGATCTGGTCTGGTCTGATTTGATTTGGCATTGTAAACGGTCCAAATAAAAACATCCTAACACTATGTAACTTGCCGATGCATTTCGTATCCTAACAAACCTTTATACGTAGTATATACTCCCTCCGTCCCACTAACAATGGGACAAGAGGGAGGGACACGCAAATCAATAAAAAGTGGTTTATGTGGTTGATATTGAATTGATAAAGTAAGAATAAATTAAGAATGATTTAGAGTCACACAAACTTTGCCAAATTTGGTATGGGACAATCTTAGTGGGACGGACCGATAAGGTAAAACGGGACAATCATAGCGGCACGGAGGTAGTAATAAATATTTAAATTTATAATGTAAGTGTTAATTGTAGCCATTCAATATCCGAAGTACATTAAAGTAGTAAGTTGTAGCATTTGAGAATGTGTGCAAAACAATCTCATTATATTTGACAGCATTAATTTTTTTATACATTCACTCAATGTTTATACATACAATACATGTAACTAATTAACTCAATTAGTTCAAACTAAGGGGTTATAATTATGTGTACACTTACAAGTGTATATTATATATGTACATGCTATGTAATAAATTATGTGTATATAATATAATAATATTATGTCGTATTAGCCAAGTACCTTGCGCTCTCATGACATCACTGCTGATTATTCGGTTAACCTTTTCTATTTTGCTGGTTTAGTGTTCTCGAAAAGCTTAAAAGTGTTGATATTCATATTAGACAAAATTAGCAAAATAATTTGGTTCATATAATAATTAAAAGGGATATAAATATAAATATAATGTGCCAGCCATTTCCAATGAGGCCGGTCTACCCACCTGGATGATGCTGATACTAAGATATCTATATATCCTATCTCTTGTTTTTTGCCAAAAAAAATAGATCTCTTGTTTGATTTCCGATCCTCTACAACTTTGTTATTGCTTTTTATTATAATGATTTTAATTATTATTATAAGAGATATTACACGAAATAAGACTAAAACAGTTTGAAAATTCCAAAATATGACAACCATGTTTTTATTCCCAAAATATGACTAATTACTGCGATGTTTTGGCAGTACCACACTTCAAACATGACAATATTTTCTAAACATGGCAGTAATTAATCCTATTTTGGGAATAAAAACATGATAGTCATATTTTGGAATTTGAAACTGTTTTAGTCCTATTTCGAGAACTTTCCCTTGTTATAATGATTTATATTGGAATGCTTAAATTTCTATATCGGGTCCATTTTTATTATGTATAAAATCGGCTAGTAAGCTGAACCATATTTTGTTACTTTTAGTTTTTAGTTAAATCTATTCATATTTGTATTCTTGAATTGGTAGAGTTTACCTAGCCTATATTACGACTTAATTAATTATGTTTCATTAATGTACTGGGCCTGGCCTGTTTGTATAGGGTTTGTATAGCTTACTTAGATCATGACTCTTGTACTATATATATTCCTTAATCATTAATAATACAAATCAACTTCTCATCTCAATATGGTATCTAGAGCCACACTTTAAAAAGCCAAAACAATAATATTTTTTTTCGGCCATCAGCCGTGTTCGTTCCCAAGAGCTGCCGCCTAGAGTTCCGCGCAGCCGCCGTCGACAGTTCCTATCACACAGCCATGGTTCTCACGGCGGATTCCACCGTGATCACTATCACGGCCTCTACGCACTTTCCAATTAAACTCACTTCCTCCAATTTCCCAGTTTGGAAAACCCAGGTTTATGCCGCTCTCATTGGACTTGGCCTGGAAGATTATGTGGATGGTACCCTTACCACCCCCCACCCTCATCTTGATATTGATAAATCTACTCCGAATCCGCTCTATCAAACCTGGTACCGTCAGGATAAAAGTATTCTCAGTGCTCTGTTGGGCAGTTGCTCGGACACTATTCAGCCTCTTCTTTCTTCGGCTAGTACGGCCAAGGAGGCGTGGGATCGCCTCTCTCAAACGTATGCTGGTTTATCGCGTGGACGTATCATGTCGCTCAAGTCTACCTTTGCTAAAACAGTTAAAGGTACAAAATCTATCACGGAATATCTTGCGGAGATGCAAGGACTTGCTGAAGCATTGGCCCTGTCTCAAAACCCTATGCCCGAAGAGGATATTGTCATTGGCATCCTCAATGGCCTCCCCCCTGATTATTCCGAAATTATTGCTGCTGTTCGGGTCCGTGATACAGCGATGCCGTTAACAGCTCTTCAGGATATTTTGCTGGAGCATGAAGCCAAGCAGGTCGCCATTCATTCGCAACCCTCGCAGCTGCTACCGACGGCCAACTATACCGCCGGACAACGCGGTTTTTGTGAACAGTCTGCCCAGTGAGATGGTGACAACAACAGCGACCGTCGCGGTGGATTCTCTGGCCACCGTGGTCGTGGTCGCGGTTCGTACGGTTCTGGGGGTGGTCGCGGAACCTCCAGGCAGCTTCAGTGCCATTTTTGTGAAAATATTGGACATGAGGTCAAGCACTGCCGCAAGCTTCAGCGGTTCCTTCGGAACCATAATGTTCTCCCGCAGCCGGGTCCACATGCCAATTATGTGTCTGCTCCTTCTCCCATGCAAAATCAGCCCTGGCTTTTTGATAGCGGAGCATCTCATCATGTTACGTCCGATGTGTCTCATTTACCCACTTACGCTGAGTACGGGGGTCCTGAAGAGGTTAAGTTAGGGGATGGTAAGTCACTTAATATTACTCATAAAGGTACCACTGTTTTATCTACCCCTACCCGTCATCTCTCCCTGTCAAATGTTTTATGTGTTCCTAAATTAAAGAAGAATCTTATTTCTGTGGCCAAGATCTGCAAAACTAATCATGTCTCTGTTGAATTTTTCCCTGATTTTTTTATTGTGAAGGATCGCATCACGGGGGCGCCACTGCTGCGCGGGGTGAATCAGCATGATGTTTACTATGCCCCAGTGTTCACACCTGCTACTGTCAATGCCACTCAATCTACCTGGCACCATACTTTGGGTCACCCTTCACGTCGTGTCATGCAGTTTTTATCTTCTGGTTCAAACATAAAGTTTTATCCCATTCCTCATTGTATGTCCTGTTCAATCAATAAAAGTCATAAACTCCCTTTCTTTAATAATACGATGTCTGCTTCCAAACCATTGGAATTAATTTATTCTGATGTATGGAGTTCTAGTGTTTCCTCAATTGATGGTTATTGCTATTATGTCATCTTTGTTGATTATTTTACTCGTTATATCTGGCTCTACCCTTTAAAAAGAAAATCTGATGTTGCCATAATTTTTCCTCAGTTTCATCGCCTTGTTGAAAAATATTTTAATTCTCGAATAGTTAAATTTTTTTCTGACAACGGCGGTGAATTTATTAAATTGCGCCCCTATCTCAATGCTCATGGTATTTCTCACTTCACCACACCACCTCATACCCCTGAGCATAATGGCTTAGCTGAGCGTAGGCATCGTCATATTGTTGAAACTGGCTTGGCCTTACTACACTATGCTGGCATGCCTCCTCAGTATTGGTCTTATTCTTTTCTTACTGCCGTTTATCTCATCAATAGACTACCTACCCCTACTCTTCATGGTGCCTCCCCCTACTCCAAATTACATAACCTCACTCCTAATTACTCCAAACTTCAACCGTTTGGATGTTTGTGTTATCCCTGGCTTCGGCCGTACACCTCCACCAAACTCCAACCCCGATCCATTCCGTGTGTCTTTCTTGGTTATTCTCTTACCCAATCTGCCTTTTACTGTCTTGATCATCACTCCGGTCGTGTCTACGTCTCGCGTCATGTTGTATTTGTTCCTCACACTTTCCCTTTTCTATCTTCTAATCAGTCCTCCTCCGTGCCTAGCCAATCTCTCTCGCGGTCCTTCTCAAGCTCGGTGGCTCCCCGTGTTTTCTTCCCTACCGCCAGGCCCCACCCAACTGGAACACAGCAACCAACCTTTCTCCTGCTGCCAGTCCGCAAACTCTGCCCGACACCAACACCCAACCCACCCCACCTCCAGGTCCCTTGGTCCCTGTGCCTCCATCCCTCCCTTCTTACCCTTCGTCACAGCCTACTACCGAGCCGAACATCTCATCTCGCCCTGCCCGACACCGCAAACCTAACCCTAGATATTATAGTGGTGCTTTTGTGAATAATACTAACGTGCATCCCGTTTCCCCTACACTTGAACCATCTTCTTTAAAAGTGGCTTTGCAGGATTCCAGGTGGAAGAAAGCAATGGATGAAGAATATCAAGCCTTATTACGCAATCATACGTGGGACCTTGTTCCTCCTGCTCATCACTCTCCTATTACTTGTCGATGGATTTTTCGTGTCAAGCGCCATTCCGATGGCAGTATTGCTCGGTTCAAGGCACGTTTGGTGGCTCGTGGCTTTCTCCAGCAGCCCGGACGTGATTATTCTGAGACTTTTAGTCCTGTTTTTAAGCCAGCCACCTTACGCATCGTCCTTACTATTGCTTTGTCTCGCGCATGGTCAATCCGACAGCTAGATGTTAATACTGCTTTCTTGCATGGCACCTTGGAGGAGGAGGTATATATGGTTCAGCCACCTGGATTTGAAGACCCAGCTCATCCTACGCATTTGTGCCGGCTTAAGAAGGCCTTATATGGTCTTAAGCAAGCGTCACGGGCTTGGTATCTGGCACTTTCCAGATTTTTACTTAGCATGGGGTTTCGGCGGTCCCAGACGGATCATTCCCTATTTGTTTATAATCATGCGAGTGTACTTGTTTATTTCCTAGTCTATGTGGATGATATTGTGTTAACAGGTAGCTCAGACACTGTTCTTGCTAGGTTCATCTCTCAGCTCACCAAGGAATTTTCTGTCAAAGATTTGGGACCGCTTCATCACTTCCTTGGGATTGAGGTTGTACCTCACCCCACTGGCCTGCTTTTATCTCAACGGCAGTATATTCTTACAATTCTCGAGAATCACGGTATGCTGGGAATTAAACCGGCTGTCACACCTATGAGGGCTGGTAACCCTGGGTCGAGCACTTCGGCAGCTGCATTTTCTGATATCACAGGCTATCGGCGAGCACTTGGCATGTTGCAGTACTTGTCTTTCACTCGGCCTGACATTTCTTTTGCAGTTAATCGGCTTTCTCAATACATGCATTGCCCTTCGGTTGATCATTGGACATCTGTCAAACGCATTTTTCGCTACCTTAAAGGTACCTTGGATTTTGGATTGTTTTTACATAAATCTCAGGGTCTTCAGCTTACTGCATTTTCTGATTCTGATTGGGGTGGTACAACTGATGATGGGAGATCTACCACTGCTTATGTTCTCTATCTTGGTCCTAATATTATTTCTTGGAAGTCTACCAAGCAAAAGAGTGTTTCTCGCTCCTCGACTGAGGCCGAATACCGTGCGGTCGCAAATGCCAGTGCCGAGATCCTATGGGTCAAAAACGTGTTGCATGAGTTGGGTATCACCTTATCTTCTGTTCCTATGCTTTACTGTGACAATCAAGGCGCCACCTATGTTTGTGTTAATCCAGTATTTCACTCGCGAATGAAGCATCTTGCCTTGGATTTTTTCTTTGTTCGCGAACTCATTCAGCGTGGTCAACTACATGTTTCGCATATCTCCACCAAATTACAGATTGCAGATGCTCTTACCAAACCCTTGGGACAGTCTTTATTTGAACGTTTTCGGTCCAAGCTTGGAGTTTCCGACGGAACCTCCATCTTGCGGGGGCGTATTACGACTTAATTAATTATGTTTCATTAATGTACTGGGCCTGACCTGTTTGTATAGGGTTTGTATAGCTTACTTAGATCATGACTCTTGTACTATATATATTCCTTAATCATCAATAATACAAATCAACTTCTCATCTCAATAGCCTATGCCTTATGAGTGAGTGAATGAGTCATTTGTAACATCAGCCAAGTAGACAGTTTTATGAATTATTTCTACGCAAAGTTATATTGGATCATCTTGATGTACGCAGTATAAATTAATGAGTTTCACAGTTATAACTTTTTGGCTAAAGGGTCAAACAGGTACATGAACTAACTTAAAGTGTTCAATTAGCCCCTTGTTTAGGAGGTTCTGTCCGGCCGTGTCCAATTGGGGCGGTTTCCGATCTAATTTTTTAATGAATTCTTTTGAGCATCTTCTTCATTAAGTCTAGTTTACCCATATCAAATTTCAGCTAAAACTTAAATCGGGAAGACAGTCAAATGATTTTCCAAAATGTAATGCGTTGTTTAGCTGCACAGTTATCTTCAAAAAATCATTTGACTGCCTTCCGGGTTGAATTTCTAGCTAAAATTTTGTATGGGTAAACTAGACTTAATGAAGAAGATGCTCAAAACATTTCTTCACAAAATTCCACCAGGAACCGCCCCAATTGGCGACGACTGAGCAGAACCTCCTATATAAGGGGCTAATTGAATACTTTAAGTTAGTTCATGTACCTATTTGACCCTTTAGCCTAACTTTTTTTGGACACATACTTAATTTGTGCCGAGTAAGAACTGGTGTTCAATAGCATAGTATGAAACTACAACGGGATCATATAAAAACTCGAGTGAGAACACTCTGATTCACAAAAAAGTAGATCATATGTGTTAAGAGAGTAAGGATGTTTTTTGGACTAAAATTCAATGATCTGATCTGATCTAATTTGGTCTGATTTTGTCTGAACCGGTCTGGACTAGTACATGTTTAGTCTCTGTGTATTTTATAATTACGGAAATCTGATCTGGTCTGGTTTGGGACTGAAAACAGTTTAAAAGAAAACATCCTAACAGGCTTTGACTATAATAATGAGTATGAAAAGAGCTAGTTTTACTAACTATCAATAGAGGAAAAAGGGAAAAGGGTGAAATAGGCTCTCGAACTTACATAAAAAGATCAAATAAGCCCTTATATAGGAGGTTCTGTCCGGTCATCGCAATTTTGGACAGTTCCCGGTGTATTTTTTTGATGAAATGTTTTGAGCATCTTATTCATTAAGTCTAGTTTACTCATACCAAATTTTAGTTAACAATTCAATCAGAAAGACATTCAAATGAATTCTGTAAGATAACTGCGTTTTTAACTGCACAGTTATCTTCAAGAATTCACTTGAATGTCTTCCGATTGAAATTTTATACTAGCTTAATCCCTCTTTTTTATAACTGTGCATTATTTTTTGTGAATTTTATAATTGATGCCTCGAGCCAATGTTTGAGTACCACATCCCTCTTTTTTTAGAAAAGTAGGTTATATTAGCAAAATAGAATTCACACAAGATAAATCGAGATAAAAATTCATATATCAATCACTAGTCCACGAATCAAGTATATAGTCAATCACGTCCCAAGAAGCAATATACTATCTCCGTCTCACTAAGATTGAGACGGAAGAAGATGACACAGTTATTAAGCAAAGTGAGTTTATGTGATTAATATTGAATTGATAAAGTAAAAATGATTAAGGCACACAAACTTTATCAAATATGATATGAGACAATTTTAGTGGAAACGGAACGAAGAGAGTTATAATTTAGCTTGCCTGCAGCCAATGAGACTAGCGAGACCAGCAAAGCGTTCTAGCCTAACGAATTATAGCAACAACTTTACTGATTTTTAAAAGACGGAAGAGAGGAGTTGCCCTCCTCCATCGGTGTGGGACAAGTTAAAGGCAAAGAAACAAAGCAAATTTTGGAAAAAGTATCGTCTCGAACTTTCATAAAAAGTGCAAATAAGCTATTTCACAGGAGACTTTGTCCGGCTGTCGCCATTTGGGGTGATTTTCGGTGGAATTTTTTGATGAATTTTTTTAAGTATTCTCTTAATTAAGTCTAGTTTATTCATACTAAATTGCAACTAATATTTCAATCGAGAAGACAATCAAATGAATTTTTGAAGATAACTGCGCAGTTAGACAATATATTTCAGAATATAAACCGGTGTGGGACTAATTAAATTGGTTATAAACTAGCTCATTGGCTCTAACTTGCCTATACGTGCGGTTGTTTTTTAACTTTGTCTTCTCTTATACGGAGTATAAAATTATTATTCTATTTTTTGAAAGGTATAAAATTATTATTCTAACTAAACTAAACAATTGAACAACCATTAAATATATTACTCCGTACTATTTTTAGTATTATCACCATCGTCATTTTTGTAATCATCATGATTATTATGAGTTTTTTCTCGGATTAATGTTAATTAAATAATTACAGAATTAATGTTAAGTTAAAACCATTTAACAATGTATTGGTGGGCTTAATTCTGATCGGGGAAAGTGTAAAAACGGTGAGGCTACTCACAGAGACCTGCGTACACGGGAAGGAGTTGGCTGGGAGATGCTTTAGACACTTTGTTATACTTCGTACTCCCTCCGTCCCATATTTAACTCCGGTTTTGACCGGGCACGGATTTTAAGATAGTGGGATTTGTGTGGTGTATAGTTATGCAGAGGAGAGAGAAATGTGTAAGAATGGTTGTGAACCACATATTCTTTACCAAAAAGGGAAAAAGAAGATAAATTTGGGACGGACCGAAAAGGAAAGAATGAAGATAATTCCGGGACGGAGGGAGTAACACATATGGGAAGGTGGAGCAAATTTATAAGAAATCATCTATTTTCTTTAAATGGCTATAACTTTTATATTTTTCTTTCAATTTTTTTTAAAACATATACCAAATTTTATAATTTTTTGTAATCTTTCATATGACACCAATATGTAATATATAAAGTTTAAAAAAAATTGAAGACCATGTGGGGTGAAAAACTAATTGCAATTATTTTTATTGACGTTGCATAATTGCAATTAGTTTTTCACCCCATTTGGTCTTCAGTATTTTTTAAACTTTATAAATTACATATTTGTGTCATATGAAAGATCACAAAAAGTTATAAAATTTGGTATATGTTTTAAAAAAATTGGAAGAAAAATATGAAAGTTATAGCCATTTAAAGAAAGTAGAAGATTTCTTCTAAATTGGCTCCAACTTCCCATATGTGTTACTCCCTCCATCCCAAATTATTTTGGTAAAATCATCTTTTTTTGGTCAACCAATGATAAAAGTCAGCTCTCACTATCAATAATTAATTCAATTTTTAATATTTAAAATTCACATATTCCGAAACTACATTAAAATCTCTTCAAAGTTACAAACTCCAAATTAGAATATAATTAAAAAATGACATCCTAATTAAGCAAATAAAATGAAATTGTTTGACCAAGAAAAGTCAAATTTGCAAATCAATTTGGGACCGAGGTAGTATAACACAGCGAAACTCACTCCATTGAGTTTCAAACCTTTATGTGCCTAGCGGGATTCCGAACTCGAGACCCCCACTAGGCAGACCCCACTAGGCGGGGTAACCTCGAGACCGGCTGGGCTGGAATGTTTGGTTTATTGTTCACTGTGATTTAAAAGATAGGCAAGTTGATATTTTACCCCACTTAATGAATTTGGATAACAAGTTGATATTTGGGTTTCAGTATTCACAGAAACTGGTATTTGGAATTTGGAATTTTTTTATTAGAGGATATTGTGCCTGGTGTGAGCCTAATGTTATTGTTCACGGGAATTTTAAACCCAGGAACCAAGGCAAGATGATAATTTATCCCACAATATGATTGGATTAGCAGCACTTATTCACATAAACTGAAATTGTATGTGGAACTTCATTTAGAGGATATCCTGTCTGATATAGAAAAACTTTCAATGGAGCCAATGCAGATTAGAAATGATTTCAAGGGAATATCTTGAATAATGAATACTTACTTAATTCTTTAATAGCTTTGGGTTTGATATTTCATTATCAATTTAGGCTCAACAGGTCTAAGGGAAATTTTATCATTTTTGTTATCCATTTTTCTAGCTTGCATCTCCTTCTATTGTACTCTAATATGATACAATGAAAAAAAGCAGTTTTTTATTACATATGGAGTTGATTTGTTTAAGAAAGTAACTCAATTACGAAATTTAAAAATTCACTATAAGGGATTCTGTAGTACATAAAATATCATCGTCTTAAAACTTGGGTTGAACTCTAACTCCGATTGAGCATGGAAAGTGGTTTGAAATATGGAGTTGAAGTTTAATTACATCTTTTAAAATGGTTCTAAAACATATACTCCCTTTCAAGTTAATCTTTTTATATTAATACAAGGTTTAGCTGACAATGTTTATTTTCCGATTTTCACATCAACTGGTTTTGACTGCATGTAATTGGCTCATATAGTCCTAAACAGAGTATTTAAGTGAAGTTATTTGAAAAAAGAGGGGGAATGGTCATAGAGATGAATTGTTATATTACATCTTTTTTTTCATTTTTTTTAGATATAAGGAGAAAGTAGAATGGGAAGTAGGAGTGTTCTTTTTTATTTGAAATAAGAGGGAGACATTGTTTATTTTCTGGCTTATTGCAATTTTTTGTATCCATAGTTACATGATTGTCCAGTTTTGATCTAAAATCTTCACTGTATCTTACTATATTTACATGATTGTCCAGTTTATAATTTAAAATCTTCACATATGTGCTGGTTTTATGAGGTTTTGAGATTTTACATTAATGACATGGCTTAAATCATTATTTTCCTTTGAGCACCAATTTTCAAATGAGTTTTGACATTTAGTCATACTGTCATAGATGATTCAGCCTTTTTATTTACCATTAATGAGAAAATTTGTAAGCTCGAGGATATTTTTGCTTTGTAAACTTTTTGATTGACATTATTGAAAAGTGAAGTTGAATTACTCCAGGTTATCTTTTCCCATGACTCTAATTATATCTAAAACATAGTTATATTCTCACTCCATTGTATATATCGGTAGCTCCCACAAAGAACAAGAATCTCAGGAAGTCCAAACAAGATGAGTATTTCAGATTTTCTGGTTTTCATTTTGAGATTTTACACTAATGACATAGTATTCCTTTCTCCTACTTTTGAAAAGAGGAGTTTAGGTTATGCATCTCCAAAGCATACAACATGGTTTTTTAGGATAAGAAACTGATTGTACTAAACACAGTTAGGGAATATGCAAAAGAAATAAACAGATAGCCCACCCTTTTCTGAACAATGAAATTAAAAAAGTCTTACTGATAGCTTCAACACTTGTATTCCCCTTTTTATGAATTAGGTTCAAAACCATGTAAATTTTCATGACAGACCAAAACAATTGTTTTTTCAATTTTGCCATTATTTAAGAAATTATATTTCAGTTAGTGCTGGAGTCTTACACAGTTGTGCTTACTATGCTGTTAAATTCAACATTTACTGGAGATGATATATGAGTTTTTCGAGTTGTGCTCACTATGTTCACATTCATTATTCAAAATCAGTTTATTGCAGTCATTCTCATACTGCTTTTATTTTGTTTGCTCTCTCTATTCCCTTTGAAAATAAACACTAAAGCATAGGCTATTCAAACTCGATGCACTTTCGAGTTTCGATTAATACCCATGAATGCTTTTTGTAAAAGACTATTGGGTATATGAAAAACAAGCCTACCCTTTTCTGAAGAATGAAGATAAAAAATCTAACTAATAGCTTCAAACAGTTATTTAAAAAAATGCATGTACATGACTACATGCTGAACTATAGCATCAAACATTCTCTTAGTAGGATTTGATCAACTCTTAAATGGTTTTGGGCATTCATTCAGATTCTTCTTTAAGAGCATGATCAAAAAATTTTGCCGTAAGAGAAAGTGATGTGTTTTGGTGTTGACATTGCTTTTCCTATATGAAAATATGAAATAGAATTCTGTATTCTCAGTACCTTTGTGTTTAAATGATTTGTTCTATCTTTTTGAACTCCGGCCAGATAAATGGCATATTTGCCATTCAGATTGCTCAACTTATAGATTATGTATTTTCCCTACCAATTAAAGCCTCTTCCAAGTCTTTTATTTGTTTTCAATTGAAAACCATAGCACTCACCATTTCATCTCATAGCTCTAGAAAGGAAATGGTAGATGGAGGCTTGATTTAAAGCAGTACTTAGATGTATTTGACATTTTAGTGATGTATTTATTGATTTATTCTATTGGTTTAACTGCTAGCATGAAGAATTCAGTTACATTTGCCTTCTCATTATAAATTCTTTTTATATTCTTCTACTATGTATCTAACAAAGGCAATTAAAAAATCAATTGTAGCAAAGAAATGGACAGATTTTATCAACCTCATACAATGAGCTTGATGGTGTTAATGATTACATGTTGGATTGGATAGATTGGGAGTTTAAGAATAATCTATGCTTGGATTCAGAATCTTCATGCATCTAGCTCAATTCTGACCTTTAACATTAAATGTTTCGGTTTATCGAGTCATGAGCTAAAGAAAATAGATCATTTCAATTGTGCAAGGGTACACTACTCCTGATGAGGGGCGGAGGGAGGGGTGGCCTGGCTGGGCCATGGCCCAGGGCAATTTTGTTTTTTGTATTATATATGATTTTTTGGAAAATATTTAGAACTGGCCCAGTGAAAAAAATACGGGCCCAGTGTATGGCCCAGTGCAAAAAAAAAAACAGTCCTCTCTAGCCCAGAAAGAAAAGAACGCATAGTCGAGGAACCAAAGGCGGAGAAGGGAAAAGAAGCACAGTGTGCTGTACGCAGAACGCCAGAACGGTCTGACCAGACGGTCAGCGCCTCCGCCGCTCGTCCGCGCCTCCGCCGCTCGTCCGCGCCTCCGCCGCTCGTCCGCGCCTCCGCCGCTCGTCCGCGCCTCCGCCGCTCATCCGCGCTTCCACCGCTAGTCCGCGCATCGCAACGCCAAGCGCACGCCTCTCCTCCGCCATCACCTCCGCCCCTCGCCCTGTGCTACTATCTTTTGAAATTTCGGGTCTTTGCTCGCCCGACTTGTCTCCAGTTCTCTCGAGAAGTCGAGCCTTGAGGTAATCAGGTATTTTACTTTGAAGTTTTCAGTTTTGTATTTTAGTTAAGTATTTTATTTGTTATTTTAGTTTGTGTTAGTGACTTAGTGTGTGAAATTGTCAATTGATTTGTGATTTTGTGTGCTTTGAATTGTGAAATAGAAAAATAGGATTTAGGAATGTCAAATATTATTTGTGAATTTTTTAAAATAAAGTATTGATTAGGCTTTTATTTTTTTTGTTAATTTTAGTAGGTATGACTACTCAATCTACTTCCAAAAAAGCAAAAATCACATTGCGTTCATTTTATAAGCCTACTACAAGCACACAAAGTAGAGAAGAGTTAAATGACTCAATTGAAACTCCTAATACCTCATCCGCTCTAGAGAAAGATCATTTTCTGCAATGAAACTTGTGAAGAATGAAATTCGTAACAAGATGAAAGATGAATTTCTTGCCGATCGTTTGACCATCTTTATTGAAAAGGAATTTGCCAACAAAATCGACGTTGTTTCTGTCATAGATGAGTTTGCTAAGGTCAAAGAGCGTCATGTTCAGTTAACGTTTTAGTTTCTAACATTGTATGTATTGTTTAAAAAATATTACTATGAATTATAATGAATTTTAATCATTATGTTCACACTATTGTCGCTTTTAAAAAGTTTTTATAATGTTTTTAGTGTATAGTCGGCCCAGGGTACATATCCGTCCTGGCTACGTCCCTGCAGTGATGACTAAACTTGGGCTCACATTATCAAGGCTCAAATAATGCATGCAGAAAATGCCAGTGAAAAGGTTTTTATTCATAAACTTACTTTAACACCAATAGACATTAGGCTTATGTTGTCTTTTCAGTGAACCCATTTTGTGTTAATTGTTAGCTATGCAATTATCATTAATAAGAGCGCTGAGCAATCATTGGAGAAGGTTGACATCTTCCTCTATCGGCCCGTTTTTATGGATAAGCAATTGTATGTGGTGGTATCAAGAGTAGCAACTCCATTTGAGTTGAAGTGTGTAATTTGTGACGAAGATGAAGGTCCAACCAAGTTTGCGTTGAATGTTGTATATAAAAATTTTTATAGTAATTTGTGGCTTCCGTTGACAATTACAAGGACATGCATACATTTAATTCTTACCATTTATTTCTTCTTATGTTATTACAATGACATATTAATTTAGGATTTTATTCAACCTTTGTAATAAAATGGCAGTTATTCACTTTTGTAGTTTAATTTTTATATATTTATTAGCTAAATTTTTATGTGTGCACTTCACTTCCGTGCAACGCACGGGTGTGGTAACTAGTTTCAATCTAATTTAAGTAAAAATAAGGGGAATAGTTCGCCTTCAATCGTAAATTACTGTCAGTGTCGTCGTTTAAATGTTAGATTGCTTATTTATTTTCCTTTTAATATAAAATTATTATTACCGATCAAACCGGTAAAGGGAAAGGGCCATATGCCAATAAATAAATAAATTAAATTTAGGCCTTATAGTTGCTAATTGCTGAATTGCTCCAGCGTTTTGCTTCGGATTTTGGAACAATCATGGAGGAGAAAGGCAGACCGTAAATGCCAGGCGGTTGTGGAGTTCCCACTTCCCAGATGTGCTTCGGTGACTTTAGTTTTATACAGCCTTACTCCTTTACTTCCTTCGGTCTTCACCCCTTCCCAAGAGACTAGGTAAGCTTTTCCGACCCCATTTCTTTTTTATAACGAATACACCATTTATTAATTGTAGTTGTTGAATTGATTTGTGAAATTGTTAATCTGTTTTTCCTTCTCCTGTTATGTGTTTTCAACTTTTTCATAAAGATTATTGTATGAAATTGTAAATGTGTTTTAATTGTTTTTGTAACTTGTTATGCTACATTAGTACATTGTTTAGAACTGCTGGGTTGTGCTGAAACTAGTGTTATTTCAAACTTACTATTTGCCATTCCATTAAAATTTAGATATTTTATTAAATTTGTAGATTTAATTAATTCAAGGTTTATACTAAAACAGTTGAATTTGGATGGGATAAGAATAAAAAAAAGAGAAGAAGAAATGATTTGTATTATGCATTTTCATTTAAAGGGAAATGATTTTTACATTTTCTTTTTATATAGAATAAGCCTGCGATAGACTATTGGGCCTTGAAATAGACAGGACTGGCCATGGTACTGTTAGTTATAAGTTATACCTGTTCTTTTTTGTGTGAAATCAAGAAAGGTAGAGTTTTTTTCCCAAAGAAGGGTACATTCAATTTTTTTTTTGAACAACGAAAGTTTAATTATCGTTAATCAAATCATGATGAAGTACATGAATAATAGAATCAGGCGGATTATAATGCCAAATACAGCGATCAGACAAAGAACACGCCACCCTAGCGGCCTAGCCAAAGCGTGAGCAACAGTATTCGCAGACCGCCTCACATGCGAGAAGGAAATACTAGAAAAATGCCTACTCAAAATAATAATGTCTTCAGCCAAAAGTCCTCCGGTCGAGATGCTCGACCCCTTGAGAATCTCCGTAATAGCTTGCACCGAGTCCGATTCGACATCAATGAAATTTCACTCTTGTTCCTTTAGCCAACTAAGAGCCTCACGTATACCCATCAATTCCGCCTCTATCGGGGTACATCCTCCCGGCTTCGGACATCCCCACCTGCCAAAAACTCCCCATGGTCATCCCGGAGCACCCAACGTAGCCCACACCTTGAATCTGTCAAGGAGGCATCAGCATTGAGTTTTACTATCCCATGCAGGGGCCTTCTCCAGCAAGTCGTACCAGCTTGTCCCACAGAATTAGAGGAGGCAGAATACTCTCCTCTTTGCTATGCTTTAGACCATCCTTCAAAGTATGCTCCGGTACGAGCAGCAATCTGACCGGCATTAGATTCAATCCCCTGCCAAACTCTTTTATTTCGTTCACACCAGATCCCCCAGCAGCCCAAGACTAATGCGGACAACTCTTCCTCCTTGCTCGTTTGGAAATTTGCTTCGAGCCATTCCAGAAGAGAGACCCAAGTCTGTCCCAAATTTTTCCACCCCATTAATAGACCAACCTCACAAGCCACCGGACATCCCACAAAAAGATGCAGGGACGATTCTTCAGCCACCTTGCAAAGTCCGCACTCAATCGGACAATCAACTCTTCTATACCACAGTGCACTTCGAGTAGGAAGAAAATCGGAGCACACTTGCCAAAAAAAGGATTTAACCTTGGGAGGAATTTTCCAGTTCCACATCCTCGTCCATCGTGTCCAACCACCAGTCGCCATCTCCCCCGATATCTTCCGATAACAGCTCTTTACCGAGAAATGTCCATCTGGTTCCCCTCTCCAAATGATATGGTCTGGAACCTGCCTGTCAGTAAGCTTAATTCTTTGAATGAGCTGCCTATCCCTGCAATTGAACACTTCAGATAGAATATCAACATCCCACTCATCCCCACTTTCCCCTTTTAGGACGCTAACTAAAGCATCTTCCGGCCCCGAAATTACAGGTGAAGTACATTCAAATCTTATTTCTCAAATTAGGGTAGTTTGCGATTCCATGTCACCGGCTTGCCACGTCATGCCTCCATGTCATCCCACTCACATGTTTTTTTAAATATCAAAAAATTTGATGCTAGGAGGATTCGAACCCCAACACTCCTTGCTGGTTTTTTGGTCTTCATCCACTCTACCAATGCAATTAGTTGTTATTCTGTTGTTTTATTATATACTTATTAACTTCTTTGCTTAATACTCCCTCCGTCCCAATTTATAAGATACTTTACGGTTTACAATGTCTGACCGACGATAAAGCAAATCGATCCCTGTCAACACTCAAATTAGTTTTAGAAAATAAAATTTACATATTCAGAAACTACATTAAAACCGCTACAAAACCTGCAAAAAATCATTCAAATTTCATAAACTTTTGCTATATAAAGTAAAAGATTAAGAGTGATTTAAGTTGACCAAGTAAATAGTAAATGTATCTTACAATTTGGGACTGAGGGAGTATAACATCAATAAAGTTTACTATATTTTTAATATAACAATAATAAAATAATAATTAATTATCCGAGTATTCATATTATCCCCAAGGAGGGGTATTATGAATAACATACTCCGTATACAGTAGCATTCAAATTATGCAAGTCTGACCGAAACCTCATCCGGCCAACTTTATTTTGTACTGAAAATGTTGTGTACAATTCAATTTTTTTATTCGTTGGTATCAACTATTACTTCCAATTGTTAGATCATAAAAATACTAAAATTTTTCGATCGGGAAATCGATTAAATTTATTATTTAAAATAATTGCGCATTTATATATGTATATTACTAGTGAGACTAGTAATATAGGACCCAGCTAAAGTTTCGTCAATGATTCTTAGATAAAAATATGAAGTGAAATACCCATGAAAATAAAACACTAACCAAAACCTACAGAAGGGCCGACAAAAGATTCCTTGACGTTGAGTAACTTTCTCAACGGAATACACATACATAAATGCAAAATTATTTTAAATAATTAATTTAATCGATTTCCTGACCGGAAAATTTTAGTATTTTTATGATCTAACAATTCGAAGTAATAGTTGATACAACAACATACAAAGCCTTAATTCCAAAAGAATTTGGGGTCGGCTAACATGAATCGATCTATGATATCGATGCCAAAAAGAGAAGACGGACAAGAAAAGAAAAAAAAGTAAGACAAAATGAATAAAATAAAGATAAATAAATATAAGATAACAATAACACAAGAATATAACAAAGATAAAAGATAAAAAATAAAAGAGTATAAAAAGCTAGAAGATAAAAAACATAAAAATATAAAAAGATAAGGAAGATAGATGATTGATGGAATATATGGGTCCAGACCCCATGACCCACATACTCAGGAGACTAAAAGGAGCACAACTGTCATCCAGTGGGCCTTCCGTCGGCCAGATGGCACCCCATCGGCCGAAGAAGAGTCAAACCGGAATATGCTCCAGAAGCTTAGGAGAAGACTTGTCCTCCGTCAGCCAGTGCCCCCGTCGGCCGAGCGTCTCCGTCGGCCATGCCTCCATCAGCTGAGCGTCTCCGTCGGCCAGAAGGAACTCACAGAACTAGACTTCTAATGTAATCAGCCCAAAAGAGGCTCTATATTGTAATGGGCCTCCCTAGCCCAAGACTCTGGAGCCAGTCCATTTTTTCCTATAAATACTCTCCTTGGGAGAAGTTGTAAGGGTTCACAAATCATTTATTGCAATGAATTACTGCATTTCTCTCTCTAGCTCTCACTTCTCTCTAGGAGTTAATACTCCATTTGGTGCTCTCGTTGAGAGCTAGAACAATCAAGTTAGCATCCTTCGTCGCTACCAAGCACAGCTAACTGACTATGGGAAGAACAAGGTCAAATCGCAACCTCATCAGCAAGGCGATCCCTGAAACTCAGGAGGAGCGTGAACGCTCCGGCGATGCCACGGCCGATAAGGTCGCGGACGAGGAGGTCTTCCTGGAGGCTATTGACCCCACAATGGACCTCCGCAATCAGCTTAATAGCAACGCTCAAGACGCCCGTATCGGCCTTGAGAAGAAGCGCACAGAGAAAAGTGACCGTGCGTCGGGACAACAGGCTACTCCCATTGTTGACCCTCAGCTTCAGGGGCCATCATAGCTAGCCTAGCTCAGAACCCCACCGTCCTCAGCGCGCTCATGGCAAGGACGGTGGATAACATTATTCCACCGCCTCCTCCTCCTCACCCGTTGGTCATGAACGTCGGCAACGAGGAGGGGGTCGTGGCCCAGGACACGACATCTCACTCTGATCCTGCTTCCCCTCGTCGAGCTGGACTGACCCCAGTGCGTAGAGCCTCGGCCTTCAATATGCTAGGGGACGCGCATCGTCGGCCAGCATCAGAGAGGCTAGCGGGACGGATTGGTGAACGTGAGCTTGTCTCACCAAGGGAAAGCTTGGGGTCTGTATCTCGGACAGCGGATCGGCCCCGCCTAGACAAAGACAAAGGAAAGTTGCATGGGGACGACGCATGTCGCCACATCAACACGGCTGAAGCAGCCCACGTGGGCACGCACGTCACCACTACGACCGCCAAAGACCCACGAGATGAGGTCATCGCCCAACTTGAAAGGAGGCTCGCTCAGATGGATGCGAAGCAGATGGCCGAGGCACGTACGGCCGCGGCGTCCACGGACCTCGGTTTCAATGACCTCTTACACAAGGTCAGCGCCATGGAGCGGGAGCTGGCCGCCGGACGAGGCGACCCCGTCATCCAAATCATGACAAAAACTCCCTTCACCACAAGGGTGCTCTCGGCCTCAATACGCGAGAAGTACCGGGGGAATGCCATCAAGCCTTATGACGGCCGCACCGACCCCAAGAGCATTTCAGCCGCTATCAGAACAACATGCTAATGGTAAATGCGTCTGATGAATACCTCTGCTGTTGGTTCCTTTCCACTCTTGAAGGACCATCGTACGAGTGGTTCAACGTGCTGCCTGAAGGAAGCGTGGACTTATGGCAAGATCTTGCCCAACGCTTCCTCACCCACTTCGCCGGAAGGAAGCGCATGAAGAAAAACATTTCTCCCATCTCCTCTCCATCAAACAACAACACGATGAATCACTTCGGTCTTTCATCGACCGATGGACGAAGGAGACAGACGAGGTCGAAGGTGCCGATGAGCGCACCCTCCTCGT